AATTATCAGGCTTAGATATTATAATTTTTTGTAGCTATTTTCTATTTTTGGATAGAAATAAAAAGAAAATAAACTGACACAGAATAAAAGAAATGTGTCAAGGTTTGAACTAACAAAATTACCGAGTATTTTTTGCATAAATATCTAAATTTTATTTAAATATTAAATAAGTGGCTATTTTCTATTTTATTAAATTAGAAACTACTTGCTTAAAATTAATAAGTATTTCATCACCAATCTCTCCCTCAAAAATACTTTTAATTGAATTATTTGATGAATTATTTTTTTTCTTCAAATCCTTATCAAATTTCCAATTGTTTAACCTAAAATCAATTGGGTTATGTAAAACTTGTGTAACACAACAACCTTCTCTTTGTCGCCTTTTAAAATATTTCAGAACGGGACTAATTGTAGTTCATAAGTTCAGCGGTTGGAAGCTTGATGTATGTCATGGTTTGCACACGGCCAGATATTGCTCACTCAGTTGGAGTAGTGAGTCGGTTTTTTTCAAATCTTAGAAAGGAACATTGGACTGCAGTGAAATGGATTTTCAGAATATCCAATCACATTTGCAGGGGGGTCGTGTTGTGATAGTCAAGATTACTGAAGCGTGCAAGGAGTTACTATGGATGAAGAAATTCTTGAATGAACTCGCAATTCATCAAGAATGATATCAGATATTTTGTGACAGTCAAAGCGCAATTCACCTTGGAAAGAATTCCTCCTTCCATTTAAGATAAAAACACATTAATATTAGGGATGTGTTGGAGATGAAGCTGTTATAACTTGAAAAGATCCATACAGAAGAAAATGAATCAGTCATTTCAAAGAAGATTCTTTCAAAGGAGAAGTTGGAATACTGTCAGTTAGCTGCAGGGATGGTGATAGCTAACATCCCCACTTAAATGTGTAGGGGGAGATTTATTGTGTCGGTGCCCACTCAAGTGGGACCCACAGACATTTGAAAAGAAAAAAAAAAGAGAAAGAGGAAAACATGTGTACAGTACACACGTTTTCTTTGAAAAGAATCGGTGGGCGCGTTATTAACGCGTCCTCCTCTCCTATAAATAGAATGTATTGCAGCTCACAAAACACACAACAAAAAGACGAAGAAAAAAAAATGTAAAAAGAGAGAGAGATATATATCTAGTTTTAGGAAGGGTTTCTTAAAATTAGGGGAGAGAAAAATAGTGAGAAAATTATTATGGGTGTTTTGGGGAAACACTTTGAGTGCCACTATTTTTGTATTATTCTCTTTGTGTACTTACTATTTTTAATAGTGAAAGAATGATTCGGAGTTTGTCCCGTGGACGTAGCCCTAAACAGTTGAGAGTGAACCACGTAAATTTTTGTGTGTCAAAGCTAATTTCCAACAACTGCTATCAGAGCTGATGTCCACCAGTGAGACAACGGATGAATTAACTTTTTATGTGAAAGGTTGAAATGTTTGTCGCTAGACAACAGGAGCAAGGTTGTCCAGAAGCAGATTCCTATTACAAGGGTTTCTCTAATGGAAACATTATTAAATTGGAGTCCTAAGCAGAACGTTTACCATGAGAATTAGAAAACTTTTGGACATTGGTTGGTTTGGGTTGTATCAAGTTGGTGCCTGTGTAAACATTTCATTTGATAAAATTCATGGCTTATATTATATAAATTGCTATGGTCATGCAACGTAAGCTTGAAAACTTCAATTTTTATGATTAGCAAGTGATGGCATCCACTGTCATGCAACGTAAGCTTGAAAACTTCAATTTTTTTTTTACTGGAATTAGCAAGGCTGAATGGCAATCCACTGAAACGTAAAAAGCAGGAAAACAATTTTTATTTTATGCCTTGCAGTCGAAGTAGTTGTAAATTAATTTGTGTTTTTTTCATTTAACTCAGAATGCAAGTCTTAAGCCAACTCTGAATGCGAGTTCAAAATTTTAGCAAGTTTAAGCCAACTCTGAATGCGAGTTCAAAATTTTACAATCTTCTCTGCTTTCCTGTTTGGCGGTGTTTGAATAGTTACAATAATGCATCAGTAATTTTTTTTTTTTTTTTGCCAATATATTTAAAAATAATAATATGGTATGGAAAAATTGATTAAATTTAATAGTCATCATCGATAATGTACTTGGATATTCTGTCAAACCATCCTCAGCAAAATTCACTACAATCTATACCAGCAGTTACCCATGTAAAAATAATTATCATCGTTGAAATTGAGGTTGATCAGATATCATTTTGATTTGTTTTATAAATCATAACTATATAATGAAAAATAAAAATATCAATGCTGGTATGGATTTATTTCCATTTATTACTTATTGCAAATCACATCTTACAATAATGCATCAATAATTTTGTTTTTGCAAGAGATACAAAAATTCTAGTATAATAGCACTATACTGTTGAAATTTTGTGTTAACAGCAGTCATCGGAGATAATGTACCTGGATAGTCCGTCAACGCATCCTCGCAAGATACTGCATCAGATATATCACCAGTAACCCATGCAATTAAATCGTAGTAAGCTTTATCTTCAATGGCTTTCCTTGACTCGTTCAAGTAAGAAACCGAGTTGCCATAAACCTCTTCACAGTATTTCAAGGCGACTTTAGTATGTGGATTTGTTGCCTTGTTTTGCAATTCAGGAATCGATGTGAGTACACCATTTCCATACGATAATGTAATTTCTAGTGCTTCTTTTATCAAACTTAGCAGATCGACAGCTTTCGACGATCCTAAAATTGATATACATAAATCTTTAAATGGGGTTTTCTCACATGATTGAGTTATGAATTGTGAGGCTTGATGACTTATGGAAATTATACAAAGAAATAGGGCGAAGAAAAATATTTTTGAAGACATGATGTTTCAATGGATTTTTTTTTCTCTTGACACTTTTTTATTTTTTCCATTGTATATATAAGTATGTAACTATACATAAAAGGAATAAATCAATATGTGAATGAATAAAATCAGCTAGTGTATATCGTATTTACCATAAAAATGTATAACGTTAATTAAAATTTACCATAAACAGGAAAACATTAAATAAGTTACCATTAAAATTGAAATTAGGTTCAGATATTATACGTATTTTTAGGTATTTTCTATTTTTGGCTAGAAATAAAAAGAAAATAAATGGACACAGAGGTATTTTCTATTTTTGGCTAGAAATAAAAAGAAAATAAATGGACACAGAATAAAAGATCAAGGTTTGAACTTATAAATGTTAACTGATGTTGTATATGGAATATAAAGCCTGTCAAAGATCAAGTATAGTAAGCCTGTGGAATAATATTCTGACAAGAGTCTACGCTGTAAAATCAATCAACTTTGGATGGAAATTTCTTCATGATATCTGTGGTGTGAACTATCCTAATCTCGTTGTTGCTTAATATTCTGTTTCTTTGTTTGCTTCATTTATTCAAAAATAAATAAATATATATATTATTTGATATAAAATAATAATAAAATGGTTTCATAGTTATATATATATATATATATATATATATATATATATAATATAATAATTATTAATTTTCACAAAATGTGACATTATAAATATATATCTTGTAATTCCATAATGTTTTTCTAATTTGGAATATATAGTAAATGAAGATTTAAGTTTTATATAATTCTTTAATTAATTTATATATAATATAAATTTTTTACTGATTTATTTTTGTAATTAATACGTATTATGAAAATTTATATTACTTTCAAAAAAGCATTTAAAAAATAGAAAATAAATAATTTAAAAATGCAAATTATAAAATAAAAATTCATTGACTTAAAATTATTAAGGAATTAAGAACATCGTTTATAAATAATCAATAATATATTATTTTATATTGGATAATTTAATGAATAATATATCTATTACCTAGAAGTAGGTTGTTATTTTTTTTTCCTTACATAATAGAAACGTAGTATAATAGGATTCAATATACAATTTTTAATAATATTTTCTACGTATAACATTATAGCAATTCTGTTTTAGTTTCTACAAAATCTTAAAAAATAATATTTATATTTATATTAATAAATAAATAAATAATTATACATATTTACTACGTATAGAAAGTAGAATTTTTTTTTCCTTACATAAGTAGCGATAATAGGATTAATATAAAAATTTTCCAATAATAAATCTTTTCCTATATGTAACATATATAGATCAGTTAGTTTTTTTTTTTCCCGTTACATTTTATAGCAAATTGTTTATTATTTAAAAAAAGCATTTAAAAAATAGAAAATAAATAATTTATGAAATTATAAAATAAAAATTCATTGATTAAAATTATTAAGGAAAGAACATGTTTATAATAATAATAATATATTATTTATATTGATAATTAATGAATAATATATATTACCTAGAAGTAGGTAGTTATTTTTTTTTCCTTACATATAGAAAGTAGTATAATAGGATTAATATACAATTTTTAAATAATAATTTTCTACGTATAACATTATAGCAATTGTTAGTTCTACAAAATACTTAAAAATAATATTTATATTTATATTAATAAATAATAAATAATATATACATATTTACCTACGTATAGAAAGTAGATTTTTTTTTCCTTACATAAGTAGCATAATAGGATTAATATAAAAATTTCAAATAATAATTTTCTATATGTAACATTATATAGCAATCGTTAGTTTTTTTTTTCCCTTACATATAGCAATTGTTATATAATAGAAAATTTAGCTAACCAATTAAATTAAAATTTTAAAATAATAATATTTTTTTTATCCAAATTAGAATTAGACTAAACTGGATAATTTTCTATTTAGAATTAAATTAAACTTTCTAACATAACCAATAAAAATTAAGCTACATTTATTTTTCAACCAATAAAATTAAGAACCTTAATGATAGTTTTGTCGATCCATAAATTTAACAAAGTTATTTTCCATAACCTTAATGATGTTCAAAACATATTAAGAAAAGAAAATTACAATAGACCAGAGAATTATTTATGATGCTGAAAAACTAATTTACAATAAACCACTGAAATAAGGTACTCCTGTCGTGTTCAACCAGAAGTCTCCTTGAGTAAAGTTGGTGACAGTAAAGTTAGCAGCATCTGTGGCATTAATAACATGATAACCAGGCCATGTAACTCTACTGCTAGTATTTGATCCAGGACCATTATTATCATATTCTGCATAATAAAGTGTAGCAAGTGCAAAATCTCCTGACCATGGAGCCCATCCAGTAGGATCAATTAAGCTATCAATAAAAGATTGCATAACAATTGTTCTTGAATATTCTTTCCATGGCCTACCTAAATAACTTTTTGTAGTGCCATTACTTGTAGCCAAATCAGCAGCTGCTACTATACTACAATTTTGTATTGAAGTACCTGTATTTTGATTAATGTCAGTTCTACCTTGTGCAGTAATTGTATTATACTGGCCGGGTAAGGGTAGTCTTGAATAAATATTACAGTTCTGCAAAACAACCGCTGCGTTGCCAAATATATAATCTATCGTGCCATATATGTCACAGTCTCTGTAGAATTGTCTGAGGGAATGTGTATATAATGTGTCTTGATACCCTTCGAAACTGCAGTTGTAAAATGTAGACATGTCTGCTCCATTTCTAACTGCAACTGCTTGATGCTTAACTGCTCCTGCTGTATTTTGAAATGTTATGTTCACTGCAACAAATCCTTGCGCAACTACCACTGCATAAAAAATTATTTATTGTTATATATATAAAAAAAAGAATTCTATTAAATTGATACTTTCATGTCTCCCAGTGCAAAAAACTTCTGATATTCATAATAGTAGTAGAATTATTATGGTTTTAAATCCCTAATTTTATATAGTACCATTTAAAACTAATTTCTGACGTAACCAAAATAATTAAATAAGGGGTTGACCTTATTGCCAATAAGATCACATGCATGATGAAACAAAAACACATTTGTTAACGCGTGTGTGTGTATATTGTAAGGTATAAATTAAGTTACCAAATGTTGCAGAATTGAATGTCGTCCAGCCATCAACTACGCTTCGATTGCCCGTAATGATAGTTTGGTTTATACCGTCTCCGATCATCATTAAATATTTCTTGTTCTTGGGTATAGAAACATACTCATTATAAACACCAGCAACAACATAAATAACAAAATATCCATTTTCGCTAGTTGTGTCATTAGGTGCAGCGTTCACAGCATCGCTAATGGTAGGAAAATCCCCTGTCCCATTAGGATTAACTAACACCATTTTTCTAACATTAACACTATCAAGAAATGAGTTACTTTGACTAGCAAGCAATCTTTTTCCAATTGCAGGCAAGTTTCTTCTTGTTGACGATGATCTACCACTCTTTGTTTTGGGAATCCAACCATTGCTATAAAGAGCAAGTGAAGTACTAAAACTCTTGCTTCCATTAGAAAGGGTAGTTGATAAGCCATTCAAGATACTTGAAGAAGCTGATTCTGTAATTTGAAGCCCTTCAAGGCAAGTCTCCTGATTAGTCAAAGTTGCACTAAACAAAGTTAGTAAATCATCGGTTAGCAAACTTGGAAGAAGATTATCAGTTGAACTATTATTATAATTATTTATGTTTTCAAGTGCATATGATAAAGAATCTATATTTAGTTGAGCTAAAAACTGGCAATCTTCGAGGGCTCTAATCGTAGATTCATAGGATGTAGAAGGAAGACTCAAATAATGTTGGACAAGTGAAAGAAAGTTTCTCGCATTTGATAAAGACTGAGAAATGGAAATCTTTGCATAGTCTTGTGCGGTTCCAGGCTTGTCATACGGTAAAGATGACTCGCAAAAATCAGGGAAAGGTGAAGAGTTGCAGAGGGTTTCTGGTGTATTATAAATTGGTAAGGAATTTGCAAGAGAGAAAAAGAAGAGAACAGAAAGGAAGCAAATCGAGCTTAAGGAAGATAGCTTCAAAGCCAAAGCCATGATCTTGACAATGTAGCTAAGAAGAAAGATTTTTTTTTATTAATAGGAACTGTGGGTTGCTAGGTTTATATATATATAGAGAGAGAGAGAGAGGGAACCCATAAACCTAAAACGTGTTTAGTCCTAATATATATCTTCACCACTAAGTCCGTTGTCTTCTTTTTTCTTCTTTTTTTTTCCCTTTAAATTCTGTATGTGCAGAGGAAGGAGGATGAATCTGTGGGTGCAGAATTTCTAAGATATTATTAATTAATTTGGTGTATAGAGAAAGTATATATATATTATTAAAATGGGATTATATATATCTAATTAGACATCTTCTAACTGATTTAGGAATTTCATTGATAAATTTTGCTTAGGCTGTGAAGAATAATATTTGAAAAAAAAAAAAAAGTCAATTTCTGTATCTCAAGTCATCGACAACTGATAAATAAATTATTGAAATGACAAATAATTAAACGTGGGTCGCATTAAGGAACTAATGGACCTTTAAATAATAATTTATGACGTGGACATTTCTTGTGTTTCAATCACTTTCTGGAAAGGAAAAATAAAAATAATAATAAAAAAAAGAAATAACGTCACTTAATTGGCTTGAGTTCTAAATCAATATATAACTAGGGTAGTATTATTCTGTTATTTGACTTTATATATATTTATTTATTTTCAAAACTTCAACTAGCCACGCAGCAGATGTCTTCCTGTTTAAACCAATTGGTAAAAGGTTTGAGAAATACTAAATAGGCATCGTGAGTTTCAGGCAATCAAACTTTTCTTTTTAAAGTTTTCAATTCACAAAGCTTAAAATGTGCAGCAACATAAGCATGGAGGGAGCTAGGGTTTAGAATGAAGGGGCTGTCAATTACTATAAAAGTTCATTAAAAAAAATATTATACAAAGATGAAAGAGGCAAAATGGTTGAACGTGTGTTAAAAATTTTGTTCAGTCAAAGTTTCAGCTTTGGTGTTGCTAAGAGAAAAATATATTAAAAAAAAATGAGGGGTGGATCCAGAAAATTTAACTAGTGTATAAAAATAATAATTCAATCGAGGCAAAGAATAAAAATTTAATAGAATAAATTCAAATTGATATAAATATGTGGATTAAAATATAAAAAATTATGATCTTTTTGTATATATGGAGATTAATCACATTAAAATCAAAGTGATATTCAAATAAAATTCTTCGAAAAGTGACGAGTCGAAAGAGTTAAAAAGAATTTTAATTAGGGATTTGTTGACTTTCAAGAATTGTTAATTAAAGAGTTTTCACCAATTTAATGAGCCAAAAAGAGAGTTATTCTTATTATATAGCCTATAGTATCATTCCGGTAAATTGAGTCTCACAATTAATAAAAAATAATAATTACTATAATTCATTTAAGAATTAAAGCAATTGTAAACACCCAAACACCCATAAAATTTATGTTTCATGATTTTGAAGAACTTGTTAATGATCTATTTTGTAATGTAATATCTAATAACAATAAATACAAGGAGAAATATCTTCCAAAAAGCCAAAAAGCAGACTGTCAAACACCACCTTAATTGTTGAGGGTTTGAGGCTACTTCTGTAAAAAGCCCATTGACCACAAATACAAAACCCATGGGCCTAGAATTTGATCTAGGCCTTCAGTACTGAGCCCATTGTGACTGGCTGCATAACTGAGTTTTTTTTTTTTTTTTGTGTGTTTGTTGAGGTTCAAATGAAGTGAGAGAGAGAGATACGGGAGAGGATAGGTTTTTTGGTCATTTTATTTTTGCCAGATAATACTGTTTAATTAATCAAAATCAAAAGGCAAAACCTTCAGTTTATCATTTAAATAAATTTATTGTTTGGCATTAACAAATAATTCTCTCGTAATTTTCAAAAAAAATAAAATAAAATCTCTCGTAATTATGCTACCTAATTATTCCCAAATCATCACATTTATTAAATTACTATCGTAAAGAAATTACAAGCAATAATGAAAAAAATAATTATAATAAACCAAATTTGCAACGAGACTAATCATGAAATCGTTGACAGTAAACCACCAGTGAAAGATATTCCGGTCGCCGGCAACCACACATCTCCTTGAGTAAAGTTGGACACAGTAAAGTTAGCTGCTTCAGTTGCATTAATCAAGTGATAGCCAGACCATGTGACTCTATTCGCAGTTTTTGAACCTACGCCAGAATTATTAAATTCTGCATAATAAAGTGTAGAAAGTGCAAAATCTCCAGACCATGGAGCCCATCCAGTAGGATCAATTAAGCTAGCAATATATGATTCCATAAAAATAGTTCTTGAATATTCCTTCCATGGCCTGCCTAAGTATGTTCTAATAGTAACATTACTAGTAGCCAAGTCCTTAGCTGCTTTTATACTGCAGTTTTGTATTGAAATGCCTGTGTTTTGATTAGGATCAGTTCTACCTTGTGCAGTTATAGTATTATACTGAAAATTTAATGGAAGTCTTGAACTAATTTTGCAGTTTTGAAAAACAACTGCAGCGTTACCAAATATGTAATCGATGGTGCCATATATTTCACAATCTCTATAGAATTGCCTTAAAGAATGTGCATATAGTGTGTCTTGATACCCTTCAAAACTACATCTATAAAATGCAGACATGTCTGCTCCATTTCTAACTGCTACTGCTTGATGTTTAATGGCTCCGGCTGTGTTGCGAAATGTTATGTTCACAGCAACAAATCCTTGGCCAACAACAGCTGAAAAGGAGAAAAAACAAAATGTTCATCGATCAAGAAATTAGAATAAAAACACTATCAAACTTCGATTTAGCTTACCAAATGTTGCTGAATTGAAAGTAGTCCAGCCATCAATTACGCTGCGATTACCAGTAATGACAGTCTTGCCAATGCCATCTCCAATTATCATTATATTTTGCTTGTTTGAAGGAATAGAAACATATTCTTGGTAAACTCCTTTCACTACATAAATTACAAAGTAGCCACTTCCAGTATTAGCAGTATTATTTGGTGCAGCAGAAACTGCATCATTAATACTTGTGAAGTTCCCAATTCCTAATTTCTTGCTCACGACCACCATTTGATTAACCAATACACTAGTAATCCCAGTTGTTTGAAGGAGCTTTACACTAGTAATCCCAGTTGTTTGAAGGAGCTTTCTTTTGTTAAAAGACTCGTAAATTTCTTGATCTTTATTTGACATCTTCAAAGGCAAACCATCTTTAATACCATTCTTGATATCAGAAAATACATGCTTTCTTTCTGATAGAATTCTTCCTTTCTTCTTACCAGAATTAATCCAACCGTGTGTGAAAAATGCAAGAGAGACACTACAATGCTTAGTCCCATTAGAAATAGGAGCTAGCAAGCTGGACAAGCTTGTTGATCCTGATTTTGAGGCTTGAACACCATCTAAACAAGTCTGTAAGTTAGTCAAAGTTGCGCTAAGCAGGGTTTGCAAGTCAACTGCTTGTAAGCTTGGAAGTGTGTTCGTAGAATTAATTAACCCCAATGTGTATGACAAAGAATCTACGTTTAGTTGAGCTAGAAATTGGCAATCTTGAAGAGCAAGAACAGTAGTGGATGAAAAAGAAGTTGGGTTAAGCTTAAGCAAATACTTGACTAAAGAAAGAAATTTTCTTCCATGTGATAAAGTTTGACGAATGGAGATTCTGCTATAATCATGGATATTGCCGGACTTGTTAAAGGGTAATAAGAAAGATTTGCAGAAGTATGGGTATGGCGTAGAGTTGCAAAATGACTCTGTCGTGCCGGTTGGGGTTGAGGTTGAGGTCAAGAAATTTGCAAGAGATGGAGAAAAGAGCAAAAAAAGGAATGGAAATTTGCAGAAAGTAGACAGATGGGAAGCCATTTTCACTAATTAATGGCACTGTAAAGCAATGTATAAGGTTTCATATATGGAGACTGATCCAAAACGCGTTGATTCTGTAGTCTGAACTGCACAGTCACGAGAATGGAGGAAGTGAAGCAAGTTGTTGCTTAGTTTAATGCATAAGGGAGATACAGATGAGATGCTAGTGATTGAGAGCTTATAAATTTTAAATTGAAACGGAAAGAAAATGAATTTAATATATGAAAATAGGTGGAATTTCGAAAAATTCCGCAGCAAATTCAAAGAAAAGATAGCAGGAAGATTGATGTATAATAATATAAACGACGAAGAACATGAATCTTTCCTTGTCTCTATCATGAAACACGGCCAAAACTGAATACATTCGGTCGGTTTCTTACGACGTGTCGTTTTCTAATTTCCTTTTAAAAAAGAAAGAAAAGGAATAAAGGAGACTAAAACATAATAAATTTGCTATTAAGTTTGGAAATTGAATTATGGTTTTACTTAATATTTCATATAGTTGGTTTTATTCAAATTAAATAGAGAAAAAAAATTAAAATTTCATATTTAATTTTTATTACATCTATAAAATAAACTCAAAGTTATTAAAATACTTGAAATTAAATTAAATCGGTCAATTTAATTATATACACTATTCGGTTTCAATTTGATTTATATCTAAACAAATTTCAAATTATCCCTGCATGATGCATGATCAAGAACTAAACCAGTTGACATTAAATACCAAATCTAAAACCTAAAAAGAGAAAATAGATTTTAAAAAAAAAAAAAAAAAAGCTGACAATCCCATGTTATTATGTTCTTGAAAAATAAAAAATTGAAGAACACCTTAAAAGCTTCTATTATTGGATAAGAACAAGAAAGATTTGACAAAGACAAAAGTCTAAATTGCCAACATATTTCTGGTTGGCACTTGACAACTCAGGCTACTTCAGCATTGTGTCTTAAACTCATTTGGTGAAGGCTGACTCATAAAACTTGAATTAAAATTATATAATTAACCATAAATTGGTCAAAATTGGAAAAACAAGTTGTCTTTATAAATTGATAGTAGTATTTTAGTTGTTGAAAATATATCATTTGAGTGAAATTGATAATATATTTCTTAATTAGATCGCAGAATAACTACAAACTAACACCAACTACTTCTATTTGTTAAATTATAATATAAAAATTATACACAACACATGAATCATGAATAAGGGTTTTGGCTGATGACTACATTATTATTGGAACCAATAAATCAATAAGATGATTCCAAAACTAATCTTTAAGATATAACTTTGACTTAATTGCTTAAACCTGCCGTGAACTTAACACCGGTTGACGGCAGCCACGACATGCCGTCGATGAACTCCCTGGCGGTGAAGAACTTGGCGGTGGAAGCATCTTGGATAATGTGGTAACCGGGCCATTTCACCCGGCCTGAGACTGGGGCACCAGGACCATAATTCTTATACTCACCATACCACAGTGTACTCAGAGCAAAATTACCATACCACTCGAGCCACCCTCTGGGCTGGACCAAACCGCCCATGTAAGTGTTCAGAAAAACAGTCCTGGAAAACTGTTTCCATGGCCTGCCTAAATAAGTGGGTTGTGTGGCCAAAATGTAGCTATCTTGGATTGAAAATCCAGTGCTTTGATGTGGGTTTTTTCTTCCCTGGGCTGTTATTGTGACCTTCTGTAAGGGCAATGGGACTCTAGTGAATATCTTACATTTCTGGAAAACTGCCGCTCCATTTCCAAATATGTAATCTATGGTGCCGTAAATGTTGCATTCCCGGTAAAATTGCCGGAGAGAGTGAGCATATAGGGTGTCTTGATAACCTTCCATGCTGCACCGGTAAAAGGCTGATTGGTCTGAATCGACACGGAGTGCCACGGCTTGATGGTTCTGTGGCCCAGCCGTATTGCGAAAGGTCATGTCTCTTGCTATGAATCCTCTTCCAGAAACAGCTACAAAATAAAAAATAAAAAAATGAAAATATAAACAAATGTATCAACTTTATCTTAATTTTATAGGATCATTTTTTAAGTACTTACCCACAGTTGCAGTTCTAAATGTAGTCCATCCCTGCAAAAAATTGCGGTTCCCTGTCACCACAGTCTTACCAATACCATCGCCTACTAACATAATATTGGTTTTTTTCTTCTTCATATCAATGTTTTCTCTGTAAACTCCTTGCTTCACATATATGATATACCTCCTATTACTGTGGCTTGGAGCTTCGTTAATCGCCTCCGTAATTGTACGGTAATGGCCACTCCCATCCAAGGACACAATAGCATCTATATGAATACCAACAGAACTGGCTTTTAAAAGTTCTTGATCACCTTCTGTCATCCATTCTGGGAATTCTGGACTTCTGTTGGTGACAGTGCCATTTCGTGACGGTTTAAAAGGCATGCTGTGCAGCTGAGTATACAGAGCTAATACATTACCGATTAGCTGCGTAACCTGGTTCAGGCTTCCTCTCATGAAGTTCTCCAAACGTCGGTCCGTGCCTTCGAAGCCTTCGAGGCATGTATCTTGGTTACTTAGTGCAGCACTCAGCCAAGCTTTTAGATTCCCTTCATAGCGAACATTCATATCACCTGCTCGAATTTTCTCCATCTCTTCCAATGACCAAGCCAACTCAGAGACTGAGAAATCAAGAAGCTCTTTGCAATCTTCAATGGCTACTTGTTCGCGATAGCTGATAGACAAGGAGTTGAATTTTGTGATCGTATCAACGGCTAACCTTGCTTCACTTAGGGAAGCCCGCAAGGCAGCACTCAAAACTGAATGACCAGAAGGGGAACCTGCCTTTTCGAGCTCAACTTGCATACTCAACATGCATGAATCCTGGTTTTCGACGCCGGTGCAAGCTTTCATGATCAAAGATTGCGTGTGTGTGGGTTGTTCAGTTGATGGGATTACATTGGGAAAGCCTTTCAGAGAAGAAGGCAAGAGTAGGATTAGAAGAAACAGAAAATTAAGAAAAGGCATCTTCGCAATGATGGGTAAAGAGAGAAAGAAGATGTTTTAAAGGTCTTTTCCAATTTCAAAAGAAGAAGAGTATTTTATATCAAGGGAATGCAAGAATTGTTTGTTTACAAAGGAATGACCTTTCTTTTTTCCTGAGTCAGAACGAAGAATCATGCATTCGCTTGTGCGTTTTCCTTCGTCAAAGCTAAAGTTATGCTTTCTTCCAAGGGCAAGGCGTCTGATATTCTGTGGCATTTCCTTTACAGCTTGTTGGGTAAGTGGATTCTCCACTATTTGCTTCACAGTACTAAACCAAAGCTTATTTGGAGGAAAATTAGCTTAGTATAACACACCAGTTGTGATTCCGTTCTGGCTAATTCATGATTCAAAATCTACAGTGGGAAGTGCTCAATCAGGCTTATGTACTGTACTACTCGATAAGAACATCAGGCACCCAAAGCCCAAAATTGCCCAGATGAAGCCCTGGGTGCTTCCACTTTGGTGGGTAGCATATATAGCCCAGACAATTACCCACTAATCAATTCTATGCCAACTTGTTCTTTATACTAAGAATAATTCAAAACTTCATTGAGAACAATATCTTCATTGAGAACAATATATATTATAGTATATAATAATATATATATATATATATACTATATATATATTATGGTAGAGAGAGAGAGAGAGAGAGAGAGAGAGAGAGAGAGAGAGAGGCTTATTTTACACATTACTTGTCGATATTAAAGGAAGTACGAAAGCTATTGTTGTGTCCATTATCTCCCAATATTCATACAATTTTCTAAGTCCCCATCTATTAATCATACCCCTGGTATGCAAATCTCAGTATTTCCATGGAAAGATAAGAACCTAAAAAGCAAGCAACCAAACTTAAACCTTTTTTAATCCGGACACAGCGAAGCTCTAAGCGCAAAAGCTCACTCCTACAACAGTTACATTGAGAGAGAGAGAGAGAGAGAGAGGCTTATTTTACACATTACTTCGATATTAAAGGAAGTACAAAGCTATTGTTGTGTCCATTATCTCCCAATACATACAATTCTAGTCCCATCTAATTATGCAACCCCTGGTATGCAAAATCTCAAGTATTTCCATGGAAAGAAAGAACCTAAAAGCAGCAACCAACTTAACCTTTTTTATCCGGACACAGCAAGCTCTAAGCGCAAGCTCAACTCCTACAACAGTTACATTTTTCAGGTGCACTAATTTTGCTTCTTGCAAGCGTGTCAGATTTCCCATCACCATGCATAATGCCATGTCTGATACAGTGCAGTAGCTCAAATTTATCTGCCACCATCAAGAATTCATGGAGTCACTATCCAAAAACTCCTACTAACACATATTTACAGAAAATGAAACAATACAGTAGAAATACATATAAAACTAAACAGATCTCCATTATTATAGCATTTCTCATGTTCACCATTAAGGACACAGAACCATTTATCCTAAAACCTAACAATTTCAAATTCACCCCAATGGTCATTCAAGTTGAATCAGGAACTGTTACGTACTCCCTAGTGAGGAACCATGAATGACATATTATGGTAAACGTGTCAACTCTAAGTCTAGAAGAGGGTACGATAGTTTTGGCCCAAGAGAAGCAGTAAAAATTTCTATATTGTGTATAGGAAACAGGATAGCATAAGTTCTCAATTTGATTTAATACGGAAAAGGGATCCTAAAAGGAATAGATAAAGCAAAAAAAGATTTAAAGAGAGCTCAACTCTTACAAACAATATGAAAAGGCAGATGCACTAGCCTATTTTTTTGTTGGATAAGAGTTGGATAATGTTTCCTGGATCCAGTGTAAGAAATATCTTGTCATTGTTGTATCTCTTTTTAAAGTTCACTTGTACTTTCGTTTTTCACAAAAGAAAAAGGGAGGATAATTAGAAAATGATTGAGGGAAAAAAGCAATATATATAAATCAAAAGGAACATATCAAACTATCAATACTTTCCATTATGAATAACTTTGTCACTTTCATTTTTTGTTTTAATGTCTAATCCTACTACTTTCATTCTTGTCAAAGGGTATCCATGCTGGATATACAGATGCTAAGGATGTTGAATTTGGTGCACGACAGATGATTGCAATTAGTCTAGTTATGATCTTGATATATCAGGCTCTGTCAATTCAGTAGCCAGGTGAAATCTTTGTAGAAGCATCAAAAGTTTCAGTAGCGGGATAGGGGTGAAAGTTTCTCCTAAGTATCATTCTTATTTCATGTTACAACATAGATGTGATATCTAAACAAGATTCTGCAGTTCTATTGCCAGTGACAAAGTTTAGCATATTATATCATTTTAGAAGAAACAGAATTCAACTAATCCGATTCAATACCTGACGCAAGTTCCTTGAGTAATAGGCAAGTGCCCAGTATCCCAAATCATCAATGTTCTCACAATGTTTTAAGTCCAGATCTGCCAGTGATTTGCACTTGGCTGCTAATGCTGTCAAACCTACACCTGTGATTTTATCAAGTCCTCGCAGTTCCAGGTCAGAGAGCTCCTCCATATAGCCGAGAAATTTCATCCCTCCGTCAGTGATATTATTGCAGTATGACAAGTTGAGCTTTTTCAACTTCTTGCAACCATTTGATAAAGCAGCTAAACCATCATCTCCAATACCAGTACAGCTGGATCAACAAAACAAAGAATGAATTAGTGTTTCTCCCAGCCAAGAATATTGAAAACCATAGCAAATTGATTACCGGTACAGATCCAGTTCAAGTAGCTTTGAACAATTAGAACCAACATAAAACAGTCCTTTGTTTGAAACATTATTGCAAAGTCCTAATTTCAGGCATAGAAGTCGTGAACATCTAGAGATGCATTCAATTCCTGCAAGAAAAAGAGCTTGTTAACCAAGTCAAATTGACTAAGAGAATAATACAAGAACATGAAGATAAGGGTCAAGTCGACCAGGAGTAATCCCCCAAGTTGTGATACCCTACCTTTATCATTTATGCCACAACAGTCCGTGAGATCAAGCTCCTCAAGAAGCCAGCAATGCAACCCAATCTGTTCAAGACCCTTCTCAGTGATCATATTGCAGGACTCTAACTTCAGGCACACAAGATTCCTACAAGAGTTTGCTATAGCAGAAATTGCAGCGTCTGTTATGGAATGGCAACAAGTTAAATTGAGGATCTTCAAATTGACACAGCCAGAGACAAGCTGCATAATACCCATATTTGTCACCCCTATGCACTTGCTCAACCCAATTTCAGTTAAAGACCTGCAATTGTTGCTCATGGTCTGGAAAATATTGTTTGAAACTCGAGTCCCATTAATTATAATTGAGCTCAGATTCTTCAAGTCCTTCATGTGATGAAGAACGCTTGGGGGAAGTTCCTATAGGCAAGGCCAATGATCAAACTTAGTTCATTAACCATAAAAAGACAATTATATCCAAAAAATCAACCAGATTGCCTTTATCTGCTTACTGAAAAACAGTATGCAGCCCATATCCGCCTAAGTCCACTATGTCCTCTAATTATGGAAATCAAGCTGGACGAACTCAAGCAATCACATCTTGATACATCAATTTCCTACAGTAATAAAGCAAGTAAACTAAATAGCTATATAAACCTGATGTTCCACTGTCACCCAAATAGAGGCAAAAAACAAAATATCATACCTGTAGTGACGGACAGGCATTTTCAAGAAACTGCAGCCCGATATCATCCACTAAAGAACACCCTACTATAGCCAAAACTTCCAGCTTTGGCAAAGAAGCAACAGAACGGAGTGATTCACTTGTCACCTGAAGCCATCCCAAACACGTATCACATTTCATTACAAGCATTGACACATATATGATCAATTAATTACTATAGAATTTCATGGGAAAGAAAACGTGTCCAAAATCCAGCATATTTGCCTCCCAAAATGGATAATGTGAAAATTTCTTCTTCCATTTTATTCTTTCGATTGTCCACGAGGACCTTCAAGAATCATTCAAAAACTCAAATTGCTTTCCTTAATTCCCAAAAACAAAAAAACAAAACCCCAGGATTTATCATCCTTTTCTTCTCTTTCAACAAAACCCAACAGAAGACAGCAAACAAATCTAGCATTGCTTAAGGAGCAGATAAACAAAATAAATAAATAATCCACAAACCTTGAGATAAGACATATCAAGATACTTCAAGTCGAGGCATTTCTTGCACAAAAGATCAACACCCAGATCAGATATCTCCATACACCATTTCAAGCTTAGCCTCTCCAATCTCCCGCACCCCACAGCTATCTTCGCCAGCCCAACATCACTCACTCCCAAGCATTTATCCATCGCCAGTTCTCTCAATCCACTAGCACACGATATCGCAGCCGCCTCCCTATCCCCAAATCCGCAACAGTAGGACACGTCGACCCGCTCCAGAAATGGACACGCCTGTACCAGCAACTCCAGCCCTGAGAATCTCAGTCCTGTAGCCCTGCTCAGGTTCAAAGATTTCAGCTTCCGCGTCCATTCTTTCGAGTCATGACTCAGCAGCAGTGCCAGCATTCCATCATCAATACGTGGACAAACAGAGAGGTCCAAGGTATCAATATTTTTGTACTTCTGGAGAAGAGAGAGTAGAAACTCAACACGAAGGACACGAAGAATTTTACGAGTTAGCAATTCGACTCGGAGGAATTCTTTGCAAACGAGTCGCCACGTTTTGCGATCTGACACGTCCTTGAGTTTGTCATTGACTCGAACAAGTAAATCCTCCGTTAAGACCGAGAATACAGATTCAGACGACATTGAAATTTTTTTTCTCTGTTTTTGAATGATTAACCAAAACTAAAGTTGTCGTTTGTTTTATTTGCAGAAATTAAGAACTTTAGGCTTTTCTTCTTTTTCCTGTTCAGGTAGGTACAAACAAGAACAGAAGGCGAAGGTGGAGGAGAGGATGATGGATCCGTTTTGACAGAATCCGAGTCAGCCCGAGACGGGTCTTATGGATACCATTCATTGTTTCTGACAACGGTTTACCACAAAAGAAAACAGGAACTCGTTAGGTGATACAGTTGCAGAAAGGTTATGCTTAAGTAAAAGAAAGGAAAGAACGAAAGAAAGAAGGAGAGGGAGCGGATAGAGCAAGTATACAGTAGATACATGACCACAATAGGGAATTCTTCACATGATTAATGATTGACTTTTTTCGCTACGTGGCAAAACACTACTCGCGGAGTTCTGCTGAAAAAAACAATCTAAATATCGGTTGCTCTTGTCATGGAAATTTCCAGAGTGTCCTCGAACTTGACCATGAGAATGCAGACAAATGAAGGGCATTTTAGGAATTCAAGAATCTGGATCGGGTTAAAAAGCCCTAATATTAAATGTAATGAACTATCAAAGGCACAGATCCTTAGCCGTAGGATGACCTGGCGATTAGGTAAAATGAACTGATTGGATGAGATGGGACACGTGGCGAGTGTAGAGATAATTACTAATTTGATCTGAAAAGTGCAGGTGATACTTTTTGGCGGATAAGGTCAGGCGAGCGTACGCCTGTACCGCACCTGCTACGAAAGCCGTAGGATATCACATTACTTTATGTGTACGGTGCGTTTATTGGTGGGACCCAGTGACGTGCAAAGTACCGTACCTATCTCCGTTCGAAAAAGTTGACGTGGTAGTGAATTGGTTGAAGGCAACTGGACCCCACAACAGCACCTGATAATTACTAATTAATTTAAAATTAAGCATCTAATCTAAAATGTTTATCTGGCCCACAGGTTAAAATATGGAATGTCACTATGGTAAGTTGAATACTTTCTTTTTATTTTTTTGATTTCCTTTTATAGATTAGTAAGATATGGTGTTTAATTATTTTGATTTAATTATTTGTTAAATCCAAATTGGTCAAACTACCTAACTAATTCACTAACCACTTCTGTTTAAAAAATACTATTCATTTTATCAACCGTACAATTTAACCTACTTATAAAATATAAAATAACAATTTTAGGCTCCCAAATAACCTAATTTTGGAAAAATATTTTCTTTAAATTATTTCTGTTGATTGCAATATTAAAAACATTTCATATTTTTAAAATCTATTGTTAATTACAAAAAAATATAAAAATAATAAATTATATAGTTGTGGGTGATTGATATTGATGGCTAACCTTCTATAACAACGGCGGACGATCTAGAATAATTAGTAGTAATTAATAATAAATTACTAATGCTCAATAAATTAATATAATTATTATATATTTATAAAATTGTAATTAATTTATTAATATCTAAAAAAATATGTATCTAAGTCTTTTCCCTTTAAAATTGTTTAATTTTTTTTTAATAAAAAATATTTAACTTAACAAGTCGAGATGACTCGATATGAAAACTCAAATTTAAAATATTTCGCTTATTATATTCATGAGATGACTCGGTGAAGGCAATTACACCACTAGAATTAAGAAAAATAATTTAAATTTGTTTTAAAACAAAGAGACGTATTATTATTATCGTTATTATTAAGTTAAACATCAAGTAATACCTATAATAATACATCACTCAGATTCAAAATCCCCCATATCTTCAGAGAAGCAAATTTCTCAGTATTCTGGATTTTAAAAGTTTGCTTCAGCTCTCTCCTCTGGAATTCAAGTTCGCATGGATCCTCCGGCGAGTATCACTCCTTGATGGATATACCCGAATTATTCCTAGCCAGTTCTTATTTCCTTCTTTTTGTGCCGTATATATAGAAAGAGGCCATCTCCAAACTATGGAATTGGGTTGAATCAATCTAATAAGTTTGTTGCATATGTATGCCATTAAAGAAGATGATAGTTAGGATAGAGAGGGAAGAGTCCAACGCATTATTCAAACCATTTTTGGTCTACTTGTGTGGAATATTCTTCAACTTGCATGTTTTCTTTTCTTTTCTTTTTTCAAATCCCGTAAATAAAGGCGTTTACCTAGTTTTATTATACATTGGAAACCATTAAACAAGCTTTTACCGAGTAATAGTGGGAGTAATCTAGTAATGCAGATAGAAATTTAAATTAAAAAGGAAAAAAAAAAAACTCTGCATGTGTTTTAATCTATGAGCACACGGAATCATATGGCAATACCAACATGATACCAAATAAAGATGCATTATGCACATGAACATTTTATTTATTTTTTTCTTTAATGCAAATTGTGTGTACTTGCTGCATTTCTGTATAGGAAAAAAAAATACTGAATACAGAAATGTTATATACTGTGTTGGTCAAGCGATAATCCCTCGCTTGTACAACTTATCGCCACCTTCTACTTGTGAATAATTAGTATTGGCAGGTTGCCCGGTTACATTAGGCCTTCCATCTGATGCAACCACAGCTTTAGGATTCCAATACCATGGCTCAACATGAGGTGAAGAAATTTCTGATGAAGATGAACAAGAATGAAGTATAACAGAACCCCAATCTCTAGCTCCAAGTTTTGCTTCTTTTAGTCTCCTCCTAATCAATAAGCTTCCCACATCTTCTTTTCTCATTTCTGATACACTTCTCAGTATTGAAATGCATAGCAAAATCGCCAAAACTGTATCCTCTTCAGGCAATGCTTCAACTATCAATAGCTTCCAATTAAGAAGAGCTGTTGCTCTTCCAGTTGGGTTGTCTTCGGTGAATCGAACAAGTGTCAAGAACCCTGCCTCATCTTCATCTTCATCATTGTTCTGTTCCTCTAGTTCTTTTCTTTGTGAACTAATTTTCCGGGCTTGATATTGCATTTTTCGCCCTTTCAACAACTTCACCTGCAAATTATGAAAGGCGGACTAGTTAGGAATAAAAACATTTAGCAGTTTTTATTTGGTTCCCTCAGTTCTAAAAAGAGGAGAGGACATTTCTCCAACATACCGTTGAATCTTGAGATTGTTGACTTGTTAAACTCAACCTCAGGTCACATGATGATGTAGATGATGATTGCCAACTTATTAACAATTCTTCTCCTGTTGAGAAACACCAGCAAGCTTGCCAATTTTCTGGAGGATCTTTTGGTATTGCTGTTCTCACTACTTTCTCTGTACTAGATGGCAACAGCAGCAGCAAAAATGTTAAAATCACTAAAGCTATTTCTCAAACAAATACTTATGACAACATGACAATTTTAAACAACATACCAGGTGCTCTACCAATTGAACCAGCCACATATGACCAAGAACCTTCACGTACCTCTATGATCCTATCCTCCCATTTCACAGTTGATGGGGTTTCACCTCCTCTCCTCCAAAACCCCCCTCCCACCCTACATTGCAATCCAAATTTGTATTATCAAGGTGATGATAAGAACTATCAAATAAGCCTAATCAATCAAAACACTAGAAAATTGTTCTTCAGAATTATTCAAGATCACCTCATTCGAACTGCAAAACACTCCCTCCCTGCATGATCAAGAACAGTGCGAGACAGCCACCGACCCTCTTGAGGCTTGTAATGGTTCATTCTCAAAATCACATCTGATATCATAGCCCCTGAATCATCTGTGACTCTGTCTGGAACACATTTCAACAAGTATGGTGCTTGAACTGGTGGGGTTATTGAAGCCATAACCCTCACCTGCTTATCAATATCTCTTTCCACGGTAAGAGAGTGTGCTCTTAGTAAATCATTCCAAAGAAAAGTTGCAGTGTGTTCTAATTTGCTTGTTCTAAAGCACCCACCGCCGAGTTTACGAAGATCAAGCATTAGTCCTTTGGTGCCAAACTCACAATAGAGATGAGAAAACTTTTCCCATGAATCCATTGAAAAACTGGAAACATGTTTATCAATCTTCAGCTCCCTATGGCATCTTATCACTCGAAGGCGCAGAAAGTTGAGTTTTTTATCATGTTGAATTGTATTCATTCTAGTGTTCAGTTTCACAAAAACACAAACCTGAATTGTAAAGTCGCACATTCAATACACAAGGCATTCAAGAAGTAATTGGAAGGATAAAATTAGCTGCTGCTGTTTTCTACTATCAGTTTAAGTCATCACATAAATCTGCACAATAATTTTCGTCTAACTTGCATCAAAGAAGAGATATAAAGTAGTGAACTTGCCTCCAACAAAAACCTTGGTAGCAAGGACTTGTATTTGGTGTTAACATCTATATCTGAGAACTCCCAAAAAAATGGTGGATTAATTGGGGCAAGCCCATTAAAACCTATGGCTCCACCAGCTTTCTCATAAGGTTGATCAAAGGCTTTTTCCCATACCTTCTTTGTCCCGTCCACCTCTTTTTCTTTAACAGTCTCCCAAATCCCCACAACTTTCCCCAATATTTCAGTCTCCACTTCCTTCATATCCTCTGCATATGCAGTTGGGAAACTCTGGCATATTTCCCATCACCCAAAATAAATAAACAAATAAATATGATAATGGGAAATATAGAGCTGAATGACTAAAAAAAGAAAGACTTTAATTTTAAACAGAAAAGAAAAGGCAAGAATCAAGACCTTAATCAACAAAAAAAAAAAAAAAAAAAAAAATCTGCATATGCAGTTTGGGAAAACTTCTGGCATATTTTCCGCATCACCCAAAAATAAATAACAAATAAATATGATAATGGAATATAGAGCCGAGGTGAATGACTAAAAAAAGAAAGACTTTAATTTTAACAGAAAAGAAAAGGCAAAGAATCAAAGACCTTAATCCAACAAAAAAAAAAAAAAAAAAAGAACAAATTAGTGTTTTATAACGTAAAAAAAAAAAAAAAAAAAAAGAACAAATTAGTGTTTATAACGGTGAGGAAATTAATTAAACCCACCTGATGTGTTATCAACATTAGCAAGATATCCAAACTAGGCACTATACGAGAACTTCCATCTGTAAACCTCCGCAATACATACAAGAATCCCTTGTACCTTTGTCTAGCTGCTATCAAGTACACAAGCTCACTCATGTATGGCCATGAAAACTTGCTATACACAGGTGTTTGCTTCTGAACTTCATTAAATAGATTTTCATTTTTAATAATTGAGTATGATTGTATATTGGAATCAATTTCATTCTCAAAACACTCATTTGGGTATCTACGCATCCAGAGCTCTTTACATCTCATTAATGCATATTCTTCATTTTCCTCATCAAATATCGCTGGCTTGCCTATTAGTTTTGAGAACCTTGACTCACAGTATTGCCTGTAACTGACCTGCAGTCAACTTCTACATGTTATTATACAAATATATAATATTTACTCCATCAATAAAAAAAAAAAAAAATCATGTTTTTTTCTGGGAAAATGAAAGTAAATGCATAGCTATCAGTATATACAAGCTTGATTCTTTCTTGTGATCGAACAGTGAAAAGAAAAAAAGATATTGATAGTAAAGGAAAAGAAAAGACTTTTTTTTTATTTTATTCTGTATACTTTGATTCTTCAACTTTTTCTTAAACTTTCCTAGTAACCAAACAGAACCTACCGGATTCAAGGTGTGACAGAACCAAACCCACTCAATATCAAAAGGAGGAAGCACCATAGGAGGCGTTGACCCCACCATTAAATCAGCAATCAAAGGCATCCAAAGCTCATCATACCTGCAAAAGCAAAGAGAAAACTTTCAACGTTCACACCGTCAGATCAGGTTACTTCCTTCCACACAACAACCTCTCTTTGAGCTGACCTTCTGACAGCTTCAACAAAAGTTGATCCCTCGTGCAGCCATTGGGACTCATTCACAGCTCTTAAGAACCCGATATTTCGTCTTGCAGCCGAAACAAGATCCAAAGATAAACGTACCGTCTCAACCTCCGATATTTCGCTGAGCGTTCTTGCTGAGATTTCGGCGCCGGGGCGAGTCGCGGACATTTTTAGTTGTCTTGTCTGGTCAATTAACGTGAATCCAATGATGTGCACATGTCTGCGTCTGTTGAGTGATACTAAGAGAACATTAATACGAAGGAGACATCAGACCAGAGACATTGCTGTTAAGATTTTCGATTATTCTAAACCACGTGGCGAGCTTCATTGGGCCTTTTCAGCTGGATATGTCGGACAGCGTAACAGAACTATAGAAGTGCTTCGATAATTCTACTGCTTTTTTTTTTTTTTTTATTCACCAAAAATCCAAAATATCAAAATAATATTGTAGCCAGGATTGTAAATGAGAAGAGAAATTGAAATTCGCCTTATAAAAACTCAGTTCAAACTCGTTCGATAAATTTATTAAAGAGTTTGTCTTCAAGTTCGATAGTTCATTTATCATTCATTTATCAAATTAACTATATTCAAATTCAACTTATTAATTTGGGAGTTGGCTTTATAAAATTCTATTTAACTTAACTCGAAGACGGTAGAATAAATTCACTATATTTAATTGCAGAATTTCATAACTTTAATTATTGATTTATTAGTTCATAAACAACTTGCATTAATACATAGCCTTAGATAGCTCAAAGGGTGGTTTTAATAATTGCATTCCAATGAGTTAAATTTATTTGTAAATTTAAGATATGTGTTTAACAAGATAAAATTGAAAATGATACCATGTTGAAAGGAGGAGGAAAAACAGGACCACGCCGCCATGTGGCTCGGTGGCTGCACAGATGAGGCAGTAGGTTTCGTCCACGCCAAAAGAAGAATCTTTTTTTCCCAAACGTCAACATGAGGTAAGAGAGCACTTTTAGCCAATCAGCCACCAACATGGCTCACAGATTGACATGGACAGCCAACCTTTACAGCAAATTTTATTTTATTTTATGGCTTTATTACCGAACCATCCCTAAATTTTACACAATTTAACAATTCCCTCCACTCAGATAAGCCCATACCAATATCAGCAATCGAAAAATATTTTGAGCCTGGCCTTAGAACTTAAGCCCAAAAAATCCAAATCCAAAACCCGACGTATATGGATTTTAGTTCTCAGATTTAATACATTTAATGGTCAAGTAAACTATCATCCATTTTCTTCATAAGATATTTTTGGCAGAAAAAATTTATTAATTTTTAAAATTTTAATTTAATTACCGATTTTAACTTTTTTTTATTCAATAAGGTTCTTATAGTGCCCCGCGGAATAAGTAAAATAACGTTAAAAGTAGTGATATTTCACCGTCGCCTTTCGATTCCCACTTATCCTACACTTCTCAAGTCATTTCACAAAGTCGCCTTTCGATTCCCACTTATCCTACACTTCTCAAGTCATTTCACAAAGTCGGAATTCCCACTTATCCTACACTTCCTCAAGTCCTACACTTCTCAAGTCATTTCACAAAGTCGCCTTTCGATTCCCACTTATCCTACACTTCTCAAGTCATTTCACAAAGTCGGACTAGAGTCAAGCTCAACAGGGTCTTCTCCGCTTATTGATATGCTTAAACTCAGCAGATAGTCCCGCCTGACTTGGGGTCGCGATGGGAGCGTGCCCTTAGGGACGCAAAGGGGTCTCGATGTTCCGGGTCGTGGGCGGACTTATTTTGCTCTTAATGGTATAAATTCTTGTGGATTATTTTAAATCAGTATAAATTTATTAATTTTTAAAGAATTTAATTCATTCTTTTACGAGTCTTTGAATCATGGACTTGTTATCAAAACGACAATCACAAGTCATAACGTTATTTTGATCAAAACGACAATGAAAACGCTATGAAATACAAGGTTGAAGCCTCAATAATTTGATTTGTTCAGTTCCCTCAGGCAAATAGAGAAGAGTTTCAGTCATGCTAGCATCAGCATTAGCATGGATCATCAAGAAGCATCACTGGGAACACTTAACACTAATACCGATTTCAATTTAATACCTATAAAAATACAGATTTCTAATATTTTAAATCTGAAATTCAAACCAAGAAACTTACCCATCACAGTTCAATTCACAAAGTGATGTTTGAATCTGAAAGAACCATCAGAATAAAAGTGGAAGCTCAGATAAATGTAGGATTATGTCAATTCCCAGACCTACAAAAGGTCTCATAATGAGCTGGGATTAAAAACATTTATCATCCTAGCTAAAACCAAGCAAATGGGTTCATCAACTGAACAATTGAAAGTAATAGTACAAGAGAGAGCATCGATCACCAACAGAAAAAGAGAAACTAGCAGCCAAGCATACGTTTGCAGAGAGAGGATGGGGTTTATAAAGGGGAAAATACTGGCTAGGGTTAGGGTTTATTCCTTTTGTATTTCCAAATTTGCCCCCGAAATCTCGCTTTAATTCTAGATATGCCACTCGTTTTTGGGCCTAAGTTCAATCCCCTCTATAATAAGCCCACCTTTCAAATGCTCACCTGTAATCTCCGTTAAGTTCACCTCTACTTCTTTGTTTTCTTCTCCATCATTATAAAAACTCCCTAATTCAATCTCAGTCCATCCATCCTCCCGCTCGCAAGGACCGACACTGCTGCTTCCGTTTCTTCCATGGATTCTTGATCTTAATCTTTCAATCCTGTTCAGAAATAAAACCCTTTCTAGAGCTTCTTTAGTTTTATCTTGCCGGCGTAGAAAGACTTTCCTTTGAATTTTAAAGTTTCCAACTTTAAGTGATATCTCTGATGGTAAGGTGTCCAATCCATAAGCACGATCAGCAAATTTTATAATGAGATAGACTCCATAAACAGTTCTTGGAGATAAAATCTGGGTATTGAAGTTGCCATGGATTTGTAGCCAACAAATTGTTCTCAGTTCAATAACTTCTGAGAATCTGAGAAATTAATCAAGATCAAGAAGAGAAGCAAAAACCGTGAGATTTTATGTTTTGGGTACCCTTTAAGACATAACTAGAATAACGTTAATTGTGACCTTGATTGAGGGTGGGGTTTCCAGGACCAGTACAGAGGATTGCTTGCCCATGCAATTGAAAGCTCCCTTGAACTCAACAAGTAACATTTCTTTCCTGTTGATTTCTCTAGTGATATTATCTATCAATAACAGACAAAATGTGATTAATTCAACAGAAATAGAAGACAATTTCTTTTTATGTTTATAAAAGAAAAAAATTATTTATCTCAAATTGTCAATGTTGGCAAAATTTTCTGGGTTATGGCTATTCTGTTGTACTTCACTTATAGCTAACTATGAGGCAGCAGTTTGAGACTGCTTATGCATGTACATGCGATGGATCAAATATGAACTCTGGAATTCATATTTGCTCCACCGCCTGTATATCCATCAGCAGGCTTAAAAACTGCCACAAAATGATATGCTTTCTATGAATTTACTCTGTTTTTGGTTGATAAAAGTGCGGAAGCTAAAGACTTGCTCACATTTATATAATTTCTATCTATTTAAATTAAAATTAATGAAAGTACATTCTTAAAACAGCTAATCAAAATAACACGCAAGTGTTGCAACATTTTGAGGCAAGTCGAAGCACATATATTATATATTGGTACATATGTATATAATGCACCCTCTGTATATACATATGCTTCTAGCCTAAAAGTTGCCACATTTTGCATGCATTTTAAACTTCTTTTTTTCCTTTTTTTTTTCTTTTTTTCAATTAATTTTCAAAAATTTTGGAGACCACTTGCAAAGGCCTTCATTTTGAAGCTATGCATTATTATTATAAAAACTAAATTAAGCGACTTTGGGAGGTAAAATATAATTAATATGATACAAAAAACAAGGTGAATTATGTGATTAAGACACAAATTTAGTCCTACATTATATTTTACATATTACCTTTTTCCCCTCATCAATTAAATGTGGTTTACATAACCTGAGGAACAACTCCTTTTTGGTTGAGCAAGTAATCGGTGATGCTAATCTGGAAATAATATCTGCATAATCTGATGGCAAGAAATTCCCCCATACTGAGTCCAAATCAGCAGAGGACCTGACTGCTGAAGAAACAACAGAAGCACGACATGCATCCCTAGGCGAGGTGAATGATAGAATGTGTGCAAAACAATCTTCGGGCAACAAGTCCAACTTCATTTTTTTGTTTTGTTATTTTTTATTACACAGGAATAAGAAATGAGAGATCTGATATATATAGAATACTGTCATTGTTGGGATTTGAATTTTATTATTATGACAACATTTTCTATTTTCTCTCCTCCAGTCAATATGACGACACGAAGTGAACATATGAGCACATATCAAAGACATCTATGTTCACAATTTCAGGACTCAATTACCCTTTTTGGAATCTATATATAAGTAGATGTTGTCCTTTAAGGACCACATACAGAAGAAGAAGAAGAAGAATTAAAACAATGTGTATTATGACCAAGTCATGATCATGCCAACAAAGCCAAAGTCAGAACCTTGAAAGATAAGGTTTTTATTCGATTACTTGACAAAATCTTTACATTTTATCTACGAAGAAAGAATCTAAAAATCATTACATGAAGTGACAAAAGAATATAGCTTTTGCTATGATCCTTCCATCTCTATATCTTTCTTTCTTTTTCCCTCTCTATCTTTCTCTTTTTAGAAAGTATTGATGCCAATTATTTTCTGTTTAGGCCTAACTTCAATGCCTTCAACAGTAAGTCCTCCTTTTAAATGTTGACCTTTCACTTCTTTAAAGCTCATTATCACTACTTCCTCTTCATTCTGACCATTAAAAAACTCTCCAAGCTCAATCTCCATCCACCCGTCTTGTCTTTCACTTGGAACTCTACTATCCTCTTCTGTTACTCGTGACCGTAGCATCTGCACACGATTTGCAAAGAACAGTCTCTCCAGTTGCTGCTTCTTGCTATCTTGACTGCGGCGTAAATACACAGTATTCCTTGATTTCTGATTCCCAACTTCAACTGACACTTCAGATGGTATTAAATCAAGCCCGTAAGCACGATCAGAGATTTTCAGCACGAGATATGCTATATATGTAGTATTTGGTGATAGCATTTTGGTCGTAATCTTGCCTTGTATTTCTAGCCAACATATTGTTCTAAGTACAGCCACCTCGGAAAACCTGCAAATATGGATATTATAACATATACATATACATATATATATATATATATAACGACTCCGTGTCCTTCTTTTTAAAAGAGAAAGAAGATGATTCAAACGAAAAATTAATAACCTTGATTCAGGTGAAGAAACCCAATTCCAATACATTGGTTCATCACTCCATGTTATAGAAAGATCCCTTGCAGATAACATATAAGACTTCTTGCCAGATGATTTCTCTAATTTGAAGCTCTGCATCAAAATTTACAAAATTGAGAAAATTAATTGATCTTAATCTCTTATTTCTTAATATTTGTTCTTGTTTTTGTAAAATTAACTATAACAAATAAGTTCAACTGTACTAGAGTCAGTCTATAGGTCTGTTAATGTACGAGTTAAAACCCAGTCGGAACCGAATTAACGATAATGATTAGAGGATATATACCTTTCTACCATCATCTATAAAAATGGGGTTGCAGAGACAAAGAAAAAGGTCTTTCTTTGAGGAAAATTTTAGAGGAACAATGGAGCTTGAAACAATGTCTTTGTAATCAGATGGCAAAAGATTTTCCCAGACACTATCAGAATCTGCAACTAATTGAAATGAAGAAGAGACCAGAGATGATCTGCATACATCTATTGGTGATGTGAAGGAAAGAATTGTAGAAACACAGTCTTCTGGTAATCTGTTAAGCTCTAATAGACTTTCCATTTCTGTTATCCGAAATCTTGACACGAAAAAGAAAATGACGGAGATAGATAGAGCTAATATCGAGGTTAAGTGATTCTTTGGTGGCTGTTAATTCGTTTAAATATAGTATATTTTGGTCTCAGGTTTGACCATTAGCCGCCAAATGAATTATGATTTATGCTGCATTTTAATTGTCTGGATAATTAATTGTTGAATGATTTTTTTTTTTTTTTTTTTTTTATGAATTATGAATTTAATGCTGCATTTTAATTGTCCTGGATAATTAATTGTTGAAATGATTTTTTTTTTTTTTTTTTTTTTTTTTTTTTTTTTGAAAGAGAATAATTAACTTATATTATCTCAATGAAAAATAATCCATTAAACATCCTGGCGCTGAGTCCCAAACATGAACACGATTGAAACGATAGGACGCTCTAGCTAGACAATGAACACTTATATTACCGTGTCTTCTAATCCAACGAACTTTGACTAGTGGAATGGAGGCTAATAACAAAATACAATCAGAAATAACAATACCCAACTCACTCATATCTCTGATTGTTGAATGATTAATAACTGATGTATAATATTATTTTATAATTTGTGTGTAATTTTATTTTTTTGTCCAATAAATTATATACATTATAGAATTAATCTCCAAAAAAAAATTCATTCAAAAAATTTGACTTACTAATTCTAATAAATAAATTATTAGTTTAGCTAATAGAAATAAGTTTATTTCTTGTAATTTAAATGAACAAGTTCAAGGTCTAATAAACCAATTACTGATAAATATTAAAAAAATAATTAACATTTTCTTTAGATAAAAATAATAACTCTCATTCTCATTCAAAAACAAGGGCATTTTTAAACATTAACTAGGAAAAAAAAAGATAAAGAGAAAAAAATTTTATAAATTTTCTATTGTGATTAGTCTGATATATAAATAAGCCTATATATCGAACGTAGGTAAATTTTATTGTACCAATTCAGGAAGGAATAGGGAATGTTGATGGTTGCAAAACACATTTCCTTTTAATGTGTCGAATACTAATTTTTCTATTTAAGAAATTAGTTTGCAGTAAATAGCATTATATTTACATATAATAATTATAAAATTATTATGAAAAATATTTTAATTAGAAATCCATTGCTTTGTCATAAATTATCGTACATATAACATATAATCATTACAAAATTTAGGTTATTAGTATTAATCTTTCATAACTAAACTCAAAAAGTTAGGTTATTAGTATTGAAGTATTTAGAGTTGTTTAGTCAATTTTAAAATAAAGCCGCACCTTAATATTATATACAAGCAGGGATGGCAAATTTTCCGGATCTGACGGGTATCCAATCCAATTTGATTCAATTCGATACGATTTTAGAAGGTTTGGATAATAAATAAACGGGGAAACGAATTTAGATAGTATATTACCCATATCAAATTCAGTTTAGGTTCAGGTTCAAAGACTCGGATACCTGCCGCTCGTTACCCATTTACTAAATATTCATAAATATTTAAATACGTATGATTTAAAAAAAATTATATATAAACACCATTGCAATTATAATAAATTCTTATACGTAATATTTATATTATATTCTTTATTAAGTCAAAACAATAATTTTATAACTTTTATTTACTTTTTAATTTTGAAAAATGAAAAATAAAAATTATTTTTAAAGCTAAACGGATTCTAATTATAATAAGATTTAAAATGAGTTCAAATATTAAACGTATCCCTAAGTAAAAGATATTAATTGAATATGGTTGGCTGCATAACTCAATTGACCGATTTGGGGTAGGCTGCTAAAGATGGTGACCGTGAGACCGTGACTTTGTCTTTTACAACGCGGAGATAGCTACTGTTCTTAGCCACTAGCATTCCTTTTGGGTTATCCCTATCCGGGCTTTGGGGTCGAATAGACCCTGCAAAGTCTACTCTCTTTACAGTTCATGTTTACACAAACCTGTAACCGGTCAAAATACCAACACCTTAAACATGAAATTTACGTTGGTGAAGTCCAAAATCCATGGATTTTATACCCCTTGTATGTTGAATCCAGAGCAACACTTCAATTTTTGTGAAACTAAACAACTTGTCCACTTGTGTGTCTATTCCATCCTTCGTCCGTAACGTGAACTGTGAAGGAGTAGTACTTTTCTAGCATTAATTGCAAAACGCGTTCGGATATTTTTGGCCCAACTTATTACTACTACCATAAAAGGAACAATTACTATTATTACTATTATTTTTTTTTTATTTTGAAATTTAAATGGATAAATTTATTTTAAAAATATTAGATAGGATACACGGAAAACTATTAATCGTAGTTTAAGATATTACATGTTAAGTTTTACTTATATTATTATTAATAAAATCTATCATTAGTTTCAAAAAGGAAATGAAATTTGATGAATTTTACATTTATGAATTTCACATTTTATAATTATTAATAAAATTCATTTATTCTAAAAAAAAATCATTTAGTCAAACTAACTCTAAAATCTTGTGAAACTAGAAACTTGTCCACTTGTGTCCGTGTGCGTCCATCGGTCTGCATTCTGCAAACTATGTTCCCTTATTAAATGGACTCAATTATTCATTTCATTTCTACTACTTTTCTAGAATTAATTAATTGCAACTTACACATTTTGCCCAATTTATTAATTAATTAATATATCCAATTTATTTAATTAAATTAATATATATTATTATATATATATATATATATAATAATATATTAAAAAATTTTATACATTCCGTTCGATATATATTAAAAATTTTATACATTCCGTTCGATTATGAAATTAAACTTGCTTCAGATTTATAACTGTTTCTATTATAAGTTTTTTTTTCTCTGTATTAAAAAATATCTTATTCAGTCACTAAATTTTATAAAAAAAAAAACTCAGGTTTGCTTATTATAAGTTGGATCAATTAAGCCTTTGAAGTTTAATTTTTAATCAAATAATTAAACAAATGCCTACGTAGAGGGCAATTCTTAGAAAATAACACATACAAAAAGAAAAATAAAAAAAAGAAATGGGTGAAGCGAATGATGGACTTGGTCGTTCTACGACTGGACGGTTGGTTACCGCCAGGCCCAGTATTTGGCCCAACCCATTATATTTATTTTCATGAAAGCCCATTCTGTTTGAAGCTGGTGGACCTAAGCTTTTCTATACCTACAACTCTAACCACAGACTTTTGGCGCCATATCTTTCTCTGCAACTTAACTATAATACGAAATTTCGCATTTCGATTTCCCAAATTTCAAATTCTCAGATTTCAATTTTCCATTTTTAAATTCAATGGCGTTAAGCCAAAACTTGAAACCCACAATTCTCATATCCTCCATCTCCTGTAATTCCTCACCTAACACTTCATTTCCACTTTCATTAAAAACCCAGACAGACTTGAGTTTCTTTAGTACTATTCCTTCATCAATTCACAATCTTCAGCGTCCATTGCCAATCCTATCTAGAAGAGTCTTTCTCCCTTCAGTATCTGGTATCTGGGATGCCTTAACTGGAGGTGGCGGCAACAACCCCCGTCAAGCTGTTTTGAAGATTAGACGTGGAATGTCACTCTTCAGGGAGGTAAAATAAAATTCGATTAATTTCCAATTTGTAATTAAATAATTGGAATACTGTTTGAGTTGTTTGATAATATGAATTTTTTTTTCTTTGAATTTTTGTTAAGGGGGATGTTTTGGGGTCCTTGGCAGAGTTTGATAAGGCAATAGAATTGGATTCTCGTCAAAAGGCGTGTAGGTTTGGTTTCTAAGTATTTGATTACCTTTTCTTTTATGGTTAATTATTAAGAATTTCAATTTTCAGATAAATATGATAATGAGACTGTGTGGTTTTGAATTTAGATCTGTGGCAAAGGGGGCTATCACTTTACTATCTTGACAGGTACTTATTCTTGATCTTTGGTTACTTTGCCTTCTAGTTTTGTTGCTGAGAAAATTAGAAAAGAGCATTAAGTACTAATAATTTGCAAGATAGATTTATGGAAAACCTATAATGAAACTGACTGGCCATTGAATGTGTGATTCTTTAAAGTATTGTTTATTGCTTTAAGCATTTTGGGATAATTTTGAAGAGATTGAAGAGGGCATTACATTACCATATTAATAGGTTTGAAGAAGGGGCAAAGCAGTTTCGATTAGATGTTGCACAAAATCCAAATGACACAGAAGAGTCAATTTGGTGCTTTCTTTGTGAAGCTCAGTTATATGGAGTTGATGAGGCAAGGAAACGATTCCTTGAGGTATGTTGGTCAAGCGCTAACTATAGCTGTTTATCATAGAATCTATGCGAATGTAGAAAGATAATGATTAACACAGCATAACTCCTCCATCTATTAGCAAATGGGCTTGCTAAAAGCAAAGCTACTATACTTCAACTTGCTGCATCCATAGCCTTCTTGTTGTTTGAGATGAGGCACAGGTTTTCTTGGCATATCATTCGATTTTGTATAGCATCTGGCTAACTCTCGTGTTTTATAAAAGTAAAAGGATAAAAAAAAATCATTCAGTTGCTTTCTATGGCTGAAAAATGCTGAATGCAGGTTGGCAGAGATCCACGACCCGTCATGCGAGAGGCTTATAACATGTTTAAAGATGGTGGTGATCCAGAAAAGGTTGAAACAGTTAGAAACTTTAAGACTATGTTTGGCGTGTCGATGAGAAAAGACATGAATTTTAAAACTTTTGATAAACTCCTTATTGATTATTGTTCAACGCACTTTTTTGTCTGCAATTCTGTCCACTCGCCCATTTGTCTAAAGGATTGCATCTGGCTAATGCTATTGATTTTTTCTGTCTAGCTTGTTACTGCATTTTCAAATGGCTCGGAGAATGAGTATTTCTATGCTTCTTTGTATGCGGGACTATATCATGAATCTCAGGTTTGTCCCCAACTTGTAAATATTATTTTCATTCTTTCCTTGTGTTGTCTCGATTTTGAGCATTGAGAAAAGTATTTCTGGTCTCATCATGACTTACAAGCATTTGTAAGCATCTGGAAAAGATACTATGATTATAAGAGGCAATCGGGTGTTGCTGTGATTTCAGCTATACAGAAACATTGAAATTGACAAACGTAAAGAAGTCTTGTGCCAAATTACCAACACTAGTTAGGAAAATATCCCATTTTTGTTGCCTGTAATTTTAGCTCATCGCTTAACAAATCAGATTTTCAATTGCTTATTCTATAAGTTTCACCTAAAACAGACCAAATTAAGCACTATTATAGATAATTTTTTAAACAATATTGTGGTATTGATAATTGTAGATTTCTAACTTTATTCTTTCCACTCATTCAGAAGTAATCAAACTTATGAGAAACTAATTTGTTTTTGGACCCTAAATGCGCATCATAAATTTGAATGATTAACTTGTAGTGTTAAATAGATTTGTTTTAACTTCTAAAAAATGGATTTTAATTTTTTAAGAAGAAATACGTGGACCAGTCATTATGTTAATTTAAAAAACAGAAATAGAACGATAGGGACAACAGGAGAATTTTTTAACCAAAATTCTTTTTCCAGAAAAAATTGGATGCAGCCAAATTTCATATAGTTGCTGCATGCAAGTCTCTTTATGGACAGAGGTATGAATCAGAATTTGTCTATATTTATTACTACTAGTTCAGTCACATATAGCATTATAAACGTAGTATTGCATTGTTCATGTCAGGTCTGATGATTATATGGCAGCGCTTTCCAAGGTTCACTGTCTATGTCGAAACTGGAGCATCGACTGAAATATTTTGCAGCAAAACTTGGAAAATACAATTCTCAGTTCTTGTTCTTATCCCAATTTTGGATGCTATTCGGAATGTTAAAAAATCCTGACAAGGAATTGTCGAGGTAGGTCGAACGACATAATATAGTTTTATTGGTTTTGTTGTAGCACAAAAGAAGATGAATTTAGGACTAGTAATATGATGTTTGAAGGTTGACATGTAAAAAGACGAAAAAATATTAATGTTAAACTTCCATGGATAAAGCTGTGAAGTATAATTGATTCAGAAGCCAAATCCCTTTTTTCTTTTTTCCCTGATATCAGAATATTCTTCTTGTCTTTAGTTGATGCCTTCGTATGCTTTAATTTTGAATGTCCTGTCTGTATTATGAACTTGCATCCGCTCTCAATAAAGACAAATAATACCATTCATTATTATGAGCTGATATTTGAAATATATGTAACCGTCAGCAGAATTATTATTACTGTTTCGTTCACAATGTTATTCCGATCATTCGGAAAAAGGAAAAAGAAAAAACGTTGTTAGTACTGAAGAAATGTTTAAGCTAATTAAACTTTTGACGTGTGGGTATTTTTTTTGTTTTCAAATGTCTGAATAATAGGGCCTTTTAGCATATTCTTAGTTTTAAGCACCAAAAGGAGGATATTCTGAAAGTGATTCTGCCACAGAAGATGCCGTATCTTAATACTCAATTATGGGTCCAACTACACTCCTTTACCAAATTACCCTCAAGAACTTCATTCATGCCATTATGACATGAGTAACATAAATAGTTTAGCAGGGTAATTCTGCCATTTTGTCCCTTCTAATGCCAAAATCCTATTAAAGCATTGACTTTACAATCATCAAAATCTTCACATGATTCAGAATTTCAACTTAACTTCATTCAATTGTTACTATAAAATTTAAAATAAATGAAGTTATGCAGTGAACAAAATGAGATATGAAATTGAATCCATTAAGCGCCACGTTTATAAAACCTATTAGCTGATGTCATAAATTCCACGTGGCCTTCTAACAAGAAGTTGCACGAATATTCCATGTCACCATCAGTAACATATCACAAAGCGCCAACTTTCTTTTCTTACCCGTTGGACAAAATCTGGAGACAACCAGTATATACTTCCGAAACAAACCATATATAAAAAACTAAAATTTCCCTCCTTCTACAAGCCTTTGTTTCTTTCTTTCTTTACTTTTATAGTGAACGGAAAAGGATATGCCAACGAACCTTTCCGGTGAGTTTCTCGACGGAAGTTTTGGATGTCGACAGCAACAGAGCCACTCATGGAAGACACCGTGCGTTCTGATTCTGCGATGCTCCACCAATCTTATTCCTTGAGGCAGTTTCCTCAATTGTGTTGGATTTTTGATGAATTGCCCAAAGCAACAATTGTTTCGGTTTCGAAACCTGATACCGGAGATATTAGTCTTATACTCCTCTCTTATACAATTGAACTACAGTTTAAACAGGTGCTACATCTTTCTAATATACATATATATGTATGTATTTTGAATTAATACTTTGATTATTGAATGTGATTAATGGCTTTATCTTTGTTAACAGTTCCACTGGCGTTTAGTGAAGAAAGCTTCTCAAGTTCTTAATTTACATTTTGCTTTGAAAAAACGTGCAATGATTGAGGAATTTCACGAGAAACAAGAACAGGTTTGTCCCATTTCCACTATAAAATTTTTTAAGTTTGAGGGTATTTTTATCCATTCATAAAAGTACTTTGGTTACTTGATCACTCGCATTCTAGCTATTTTCAGAAGTTTCTAATATATATGAGTTTATTTCCAAATCAGCTTTTTGTCCCTTTAAAAGAAAAACCAAATTGCAAAAATGTCCATTGCTATTTCTAAAAACTATTCCTTTTAGCTTTTAAGCTACTATTAGAAACAAATTCAGAAAAGCCCTTAATCATCTTCACTAGAAATCTCAATATAGCATGATAATGCTCTGGGGCTGGAGCTTTGTTTAAAGTGTGTTTGTATTGATTTCTATCTAATTTCTTATTGACAGGTTAAAGAATGGCTTCATAGCTTAGGAATAGTAGATCATCATGTAGCAGCTGTACAAGATGAAGATGAACCTGATGATGGTGGTTTTCCTTTGAATCAAGAAGAAAGTGTTAGAAACAGGTGATTGCCTATAATCACAATCTCATGCCATTTGGAGTCTTTCGATAGAACAAAACCTGGAAATTAATCATTGTAGTTTTAGTTTTAAGGAAGTGCTTTGTTTTGTAGAAATGTCCCATCTGTTGCTGCTTTGCCGATTTTTCGTCCAGCATTAGGAGGGCAGCAGGCCATCGACAAAGCAAAGGTAGCAATGCAGAATTATCTAAATCATTTCCTAGGAAACATGGATATTGTAAATTCTAGAGAGGTAAGCACTGAGCAAATTAAATTCTTTTTTATATTCTTTGATGCTTTTCTTCAATAAAAAGCTTTTTAGAATTTAAATCCACACATGATTAGGCATGTTCACCTTTCGAGGTTCTATTGTGATTTGATTTGTTAATCTTTGTGACATCTGGTGGGATTAAACAATGAAGTAAAATTTCTGGATTCATAAACAATGAAGTACACAAGAGGAACCAATCATGAAATGCCCTCCATCCCAACAGATGTCAGTGAGAAAGGTTATGAATAGATTGAGAATGCTACACCTTTTGCCTTAGACATTTGTCAAAAAAATTCCATTTGTTTATGATAGTAAAATTATCAGGAAGAGTAAAATTGGGATTAAACAAGACCAAACTAAATATGAATCCAGGAAACACTCTGTGGATGAGCTATGTTTGCATGTTTTCTTATTTTTCCCCTTTCATATATATATTTTTTAACGAGATAGATTAATGTAGGTCTGCAAATTTCTGGAGGTCTCTAAATTGTCTTTTTCACGGGAATATGGTCCAAAGCTGAAAGAAGGTTATGTGATGGCAAAGCATCTATCAAACATTTCCGACAATGGTGATATAAGATGCTGTCCTTGCAGTTTGTTTGACTGTTGTAGTGACAATTGGGAAAAGGTAATTACATCTTTTAAACGGGAACTGAGGTTATTCATTTTGTTGTCATTAAATTAATCTGAGTTTAATCAGAATCATATAAGAGCAAAGTAAAGAATTTCATGTTAAAGCAATAATACTATGTATGTGAGCAACTTGAAAATGCTTTAATTTTCTACTTGCTACTTTAGTTTGCATCACTATTCCACTTCATATTAGTGCAGGTGTGGGCTGTTTTAAAACCTGGGTTCTTGGCCTTGCTAGAAGATCATTTTGACACAAAATTATTAGATATAATTGTGTTTGATATTTTACCAACCTCAACTGGGAGTAAAGGATCTCAAGTATATATAGCAAACCAGATAAAGGAACGCAATCCTTTACGTTATTCTTTCAAGGTAAGCTGTTCTATTGTTTTATTTTGTCTAAAAAGAAATAATCGCAAGTAGTTATTTATGGCTCAAGTTCATAATTGCTTTTAATTGTCCATTTACAAAAGAAACTTGTGAATTTGAAAAGGTTTCTTCTGGAAGTAAGAGCATAAAATTACGCACTACCAGCAGTGGTAAAGTGAAAGAATGGGTTGCTGCAATCAATGATGCTGGTTTAAGGCCGCTTGAGGGTTGGTGTCATCCTCACCGCTTTGGTTCATTTAGTCCTCTGAGAGGTTTAACTGATGATGGGAGTCAAGCTCAGTGGTTTGTTGATGGGCAAGCTGCTTTTGAAGCAATTGCTTCTGCAATAGAGAATGCAAAGTCAGAGGTTCACTTCTTTCCATGCAAACAATATCCAGTAGATACATATGAGTAAACATTAGTTTTAAGACCCTATGATCAAAACTTGTTTGCAGATATTTATTACTGGCTGGTGGCTTTGCCCTGAGCTTTATCTAAGACGCCCTTTCCGAAGTCATTCTATCTCCCGGCTTGATTCTTTGCTAGAAGCTAAAGCTAAGCAAGGTGTTCAGGTGCCGTGCAAATAGTTCTCTTCATTCTTCCTAATGCATTGTATTTTGATATGGGGTATTTTGACGCTGCCTAAAATTTGACACTGAGCTAGTTGTTTGAAAATAGTTTCTGAGTTTATTATTATCTTCATTAAGGAAATGTTTGGATCATATTGTGGCACCTATGGTGATCAGAGATAGTTAGATTGAGCATCCTGTACTCATATCATTAGCTGGTAATTATGTTTTTTTTTTTTTAAGATGCAGCCTGCATGTTTATCAGTTTCCTTGGTTCACATAAGTAGGATTGATAGTTGGACTTGAAACTTTCGTCACAGCTTCATCCTAATTAGACGAAGCTATTTGTGAAGGGATAGCATTGTTGTGGGAGGGGGGGGGGGATCTGACTCAAAATATTGCTTGAATATTTGTTATTATATTTCCCATTACTTGTAACTAAGATTAAGTTTAAAATTAATGAATTTCTATCTCTAAGTTCAGGCTGCACGATATGCCAACGAAACAAAGAGGAACATCAATTTCCCAAAGAAATCATTATCTGCTCTATTGTTATCACTTCTCTTGTACATTCATGTAATGAAATATTATCAGCTTCGACTTAGATTTTCTGTCACTGCAGATTTATATTCTTCTCTACAAGGAGGTTGCTATTGCCTTGAAAATTAACAGTTCATACAGTAAGAAAAGGCTTCTTAACATTCATGAAAATGTGAAGGTACTGCGCTACCCCAACCATTTTTCAACGGGCATCTATCTATGGTATGCATTCTGTTGATTAATGATGGTCAACATTTCATCATGGTTTAATATGGAGTTATGCAAATGCTTTCTTTAATTAGATTTCATTTCCAGGATATGCTCATTGATTAGTTCTGCTGTATGCAGGTCACACCATGAAAAACTTGTAATTGTTGACTACCAGATTTGCTTTATTGGAGGATTAGATTTATGCTTCGGTCGATATGATACTATTGAACACAGAATTGGTGATTGTCCTCCTCATATATGGGCAGGAAAGGACTATTATAATCCAAGGTGGTTTCTCGATTTTTGTTAAAGTAATATGAAATGAGTATTATGTGTCATTAGAACCGCAAATTCAACTCAAATGCACCTTGTTCTTAAACCAAATGGGTTGATTATTAAATCTTAGCAGGTGCTAATATTAACAGAACATTGTTTGTCCAGAGAATCTGAACCAAATTCTTGGGAGGACGCTATGAAAGATGAGCTTGATCGTCAAAAATATCCACGCATGCCATGGCATGATGTCCATTGTGCTCTTTGGGGTCCACCATGCCGTGATGTTGCCAGGCACTTTGTTCAACGTTGGAATCATGCTAAGGTTTTTCTCCTGTCACCTGAATCTTGCATAATATATTTTAGAAAAACTCAGTTTCTGACAGCTGACTTTTTCTTAGAGAAGCAAAGCTCCAAATGAGAAAACGATACCACTATTGATGCCTCACCACCACATGGTCCTTCCTCATTACATGGGAAGAAGTAAAGACATGGACATCGAAAAGAAGAATGCAGAAGAAAACGAGAAAGACATTGCAAGACAGGATTGCTTTTCACTATCCCCATTGCAAGATGTCCCATTGCTTTTGCCTCAGGAAGCTGATGCCGCTGTTCCTGCAAGTGTAGATCAAAAGTTAACCACTGAATACAAGACTAAAGATACTCTTGATCAGCCTACTGGATTTTGTGGACGTTCTATATTCTCCTTTCAGAAGTCCAAAGTTGAAGGTTTAGTTCCAGATTCACCGGTGAAGGACCTTGTGGATGAACTTGACTTTTTGGATCTTCAGAGTAGCTCTCAGATATCAGATGAATGGTCAGAAACATTGGAAGAAGATAATCATCATGTTTCTGCTGGTGAACATGGACAAGTTGGACCACGCATTCCATGTCATTGTCAGGTTAGATACACCTTTGACATCCAGTGCAAATGCTTTGAAGATTATTTTGAGAAATATAAATTTCTGTGTTTATGCATTTTTCTAGATTTACATTTGTAGACAGCCATACAGCTAATTTAAGGACTCAAAAGGAATTTGTAGGATAGACACAGAATAATGATATTTTCTCTACATGGGAACAGTTCACTCATAAGGAAGAATGACAAGGCAATACATGCATATAATCATTATTTTCGTTTTTCCCTCATGTATCCTTTTTTTCCATGTCAATGTATTATTTATTTCTTCCCCATTATGACAATATATATATGATGCATAGGTTATCCGAAGTGTCAGTCAATGGTCTGCTGGAGTCGGCCAACCTGAAGAAAGCATCCATAATGCCTACTGTACTCTCATTCAAAAAGCACAACATTTCATCTACATAGAGGTATCTTAACTTAATGAAATTGATTTTGGCTTTTTCCTCATGCAGCCTTGAATTACAAAACTTTTCAGAATCATGATTTTTTGCTGTTGTGCTGTGCAAATAGTCACACTTTTTGACATTTAAATTCACTTTGCCAACATGATGTCTGGAACACCTTTTTTTTTGTGTGTGTACTAGGAGGCTAATATTGCTACTCTGTTACCAGAATCAATTTTTCATATCAGGTCTTTGTGGAGATGAGATTATACAAAACCGTGTTGTGGATGCATTATACAAGCGTATTTTGCAAGCATACAAAGAACAGAAGTGTTTCCGTGTTATCGTTGTTATACCACTTTTACCCGGCTTCCAGGTGTTACTCTCATTCTTTTGTATTAATTGCCAATTTAAGTACACCTTTTCTCTTATGTTGATAATGTCATTGGTAGGGTGGCCTTGTTGATGGTGGGGCAGCAACTGTTAGAGCCATAATGCATTGGCAGTATCGGACCATTTCAAGAGAAAAGACTTCAATATTGTATAAACTCAGTGAAGATCTCGGCCCTAAAACACATGATTACATTTCATTTTATGGTTTGAGGAAATATGGAAGACTTTTCAAGGACGGTCCAGTGGCCACGAGTCAGGTATTATCTTGTATTTCATCAGCAACGCTATACACATGTATAGGATGCTTGACTTTGAGAATCACACTCGGGAATAAATTTATATAAGCTCATCTTAGCCCTTCTGTTTTTCTTTTTCCTTAACCTTCATGCAGGTGTATGTGCATAGCAAAGTTATGATAGTTGATGATCATCTTGCGTTAATTGGATCATCTAATATTAATGACAGGAGTCTACTTGGATCCAGAGACTCAGAGGTCTTCCACGCGCTCCACTTTCTATTTCTAATTAATTTATTTATTCATACATAATTTTATACAGAAGTACTAATATTTTTGTTTCAGATTGGGGTGGTTATTGAAGATAAGGAGTTTGTTGACTCATCCATGAATGGAGAACCTTGGAAAGCTGGAAAATTTACACACAGCTTGAGGTGTTCTCTGTGGTCAGAGCATCTTGGTCTTAATGCAGGAGAGGTCAGTGTAAGAATGATATTCATCAACATTTATCGACTCCCGAACTTCCCAGAGTTCAGCATCAATAAGGCTACTTTTAGTTTTAAAGCTAAATAAAACTTGGTGAAACTTATTTTCCACATTATTTCTGTGCAATTTCTTTTAGCTTATCGATATTTTTAATCAGCAAATGACTCTTTACATTTTCCTTCCGATAGATCAATAAAATCAATGATCCTGTAGTGGAGACAACATATAAAGATTTATGGTTGACAACTGCAAAGGTGAGTGCATATATTTCAGATTGGGGTGGTTATTGAAGATAAGGTAGTTTTGTTGACTCATCCATGAAATGGAGAACCCTTGGAAAGCTTGGAAAATTTACCACACAGCTTGAGGTGTTCTCTGTGGTCAGAGCATCTTGGTCTTATGCAGGAGGAGTTCAGTGTAAAGAATGATATTCCATACAACATTTATCGACTCCCGAACTTGATCCCCAGAGTTCAGCATCAATAAGGCTACTTTAGTTTTAAAGGCTAAAATAAAACTTTGTGAAACTTATTTTCGCACATTATTCTGTGCAATTTCCTTTTTAGCTTAATCGATATTTTTAATCAGCAAATGACTCTTTACATTTTTCCTTCCGAATAGAAATCAATAAAAATCAATGAATCCTGTAGTGAGGAGACAACATATAAAAGATTTATGGTTGACAACTGCAAAGGTTGAAAGTGCATATATATATATATATATATATATATTATATAATTATATATTATTATGTTTTATCAGTTTTTCTTTGTTTTGCTGCTATGGAAATTTAACTGTAGTACCTATACCTCTGACAGGATAATACAAAGATCTATCAAGATGTCTTTGCTTGTCTTCCAAATGATCTGATTCATTCAAGGTAGACTCAAATCACGATCGTCTGATCTTTAATTCTCAAGCATAATGTTCTCACTTACATAGCTTTACATTACCGTTGAATACAGAGCTGCTCTGAGACAAAGCATGAACTATTGGAGGGAGAAACTCAGTCACACCACCATTGACTTAGGAATAGCTCCTGATAAGATTGAATATCACGACAGTGGAGAAATCAAGGTGATAAACCCAATGGACAAGCTAAAATCAATAAAGGGTCATCTGGTTTCCTTCCCATTGGAGTTCATGTGTCAAGAAGATCTCAGACCAGTGTTCAACGAGAGTGAGTTTTACGCATCGCCTCAGGTATTTCATTAATATTACTCCATTTACAGGATCAATAGAGTACCACATTTCTGTGCAGGTAAAATATTGTTGTAGGCAGGAAGAAAAAATTTGAAAATTTAGATGTACATACATTCTTTTGCCTTTTATTGAAGGCAGTGGTATGCATTTTGTAAATGAATATATTCATTTGGATCTCGCAATCAAAATGTCAAAAGTGCCATTATAGAACCTCAATCACAATAGAACAACATAAAAAACACAATGTATTTTGAACATTGATCTTCTTAAGTGAACATCTTACAGAGCAAAACTCCAAGGCAACAACACTATCTTTGACCCAATTTAAAGAAGCTTGACACCAGAATCTCTAACAGCATCAACGACAGCTTTAACTTTCCCATGATATTTCTGTTCTCTCTTGAGGAAGACAGAAACAGCAGGAATGTCCTTGACCAGCAGTCGCTCCGCCAATATTTTCCCAATTTTAGCAGCAGCGGCTACATCTCGAGTGTTTTCCATGCTTGATCTCAGGGCCTTTTCTTGTGAGCTTGCAGAGCATGCAACTGTTGCAGTTGGTGAGTGGATAACTTGGGCACTCACATACTTGTTTGTGAAATGCATCTTCAAAACATAGGGTTTCAGATATTCTGTAACTCTAGGAGGCCACTTAACTGGGGGTGGAATAACCATCTCTGTCTATCTGCAAACTGATAAACAATAGAATCAAGAGTATAGAACCGAAATTCATGAGCAATTAACTACAAATCCAACAGTATAAAATTACATACCGATTCAGCCTGTCAATTGTTAAAATGGAAAATTGTATTAACCATATACAAACAAGTTGGTTATCCATAAAAATAACTTGCCTAGCTTACTTGAAGAGAAATAACAAAGTTACAAACTGGAAAAGTTTACACAGACTTGTCTATGCAATGGTTCTAATGAGTGAAATAAAAATTTTGAAAGTTGCAATTGCGTGATTAAAACGACCTAGTATTATCTTTCTTAAACTATGTGGGGGAAAAAAAAAGCGACAACCTCTTTGGGATAGAGGAAAAACATATATATTCAGTTGACAATTACCTCATCAGTGCAATAGGTGATGCCTATTATGCTCTAAATTACACCAACTCGCCCAAAAAAAAAAAAGGAATGGCACTAGAAGTTAAACTCTTGGTACATTGAGGCTTCTGTATGGATCAAATGGTCAATACATATTTACTGGCCATGAAATCTGTTCACTTACTAGTCATCTAGATGAGGTTCCTCATTTCTCACTCCATATCTTAATACTTTCTATTAACTTGAAAAGAAATTGTGCCAAATGAACTTTCATGAAGGATACACATTATCTTAAAGTTGCATCAACCATATAAACTAAGAAAACTGCTATCAGTCTCCAACCAATAGAAGAATTAATAAAAACCTACTAAGCACTCATCTCGGATGCTATCAGCAAGCAAATTTTTTTTACCTTAATACCAGATTGACTCTAAGAATGCTACATACACACTCAGAAACCCCATCAAGCAATCAATAACTTTTGGGATCAATAAAAATCAAAATTAGTATTCAAACCATAATTATCTCTAATGACAATTTTTCCTCTTATACCACAACTGTTAAAATGAAATGGAAAAGCATACTCTCCATAAACATCATAAGGAAAGAAAGATTTTTAAAGTGACAAAGGGATCTTAACAATGTTGGCAAGAAATCTCCATTTGACAAATATATACAGCATGGACACCAATCATGTCACATTTTTTGTTCAGACCGATTACACTAATGGAAATACTTTAAATAAGCAGCAATATTAAAGTGATCATAAAACAGAATCAATTAAGAGTATCGGATCCATGTAATAAATTCACAAGCTCAACAACCCACAAAGACAAACTAAAATTATAAATTTATTTGTTTCTTGATTTCACATTTACTGAGAAAAAATGGTGAATAACGTCCCTTATTTACTATTGAAAAAATTTAGTTTTCTCTCACAAACATTTCATCAAACAAGTGGCGTACCATAAGAAAACACCTTACATGCTTCCCAAGACAAGTAAACTTACAACCATGTCTAATATATGATTCTTTAATTTTAACAGGAGAAAAAACCTGACCTCAAGAGTTCTCTATCCTGATTTCCTCCGAGACGAAGACTGAAGCAAAGAACAACAACCAGATGACTGGAGAGGATGAGGGGCTTATTGGTTATTGCCTTGTCGCGGCTGAAACGCTGTGAGAGGTCATCGTTTTGATTAACGAAGTTAATTCGTGGGCCCGGTTTGTAAATTGTGGGCCCAGTAAAAATTTAATAGCAGTAAAAAAGTCTGGTAAAATCGGAATTTGCTGAGCAAGATAAGAAATTAACTCAGATATAAGTGAAAAGAAAATTTCACATTTTAGGTTTATAACATGTAAATGATCATACACTCATCAAGAACTTAAAAGCAGAATAAAAAATTATATTTAAAAAACCTATTTTACGCAAAATTTAGATCAATAATTTTAACAAATTATGTTGTAGGTTGAGAAATTTTAATAGCATGTTCCACCAATTCAAGAATCTCTGCTCTGCTTCTCACAATCCTATGAAAAAGCTCTCTAATCTGCATTTGCAAAGGTGACAATCCCACTTCCATTTTCCCGCAAATCTCCGCCAGTTCCGCCACCTGCGGTTCCACCTCTTCCATCTTCTCTGTTTCTCCCGGAAACTGAAACCCATTAGCAAATTCAATCAAACTCTGTGCTAATTTCTCCATCCTCTGCATTTCCTCAAGTAACCCAGCTGACCCTTTCTTCTCCTTTTTCTTCCATTCCTCTCCAATTTTCTCTTGCAAGCCAATTATGCTCTGAGCCCACCCCAATTGTCGCGGAATCTGAATATTCGTCGCCAACCCACTCCTTTCTTGGCATGGCACAGCCGCCACTAAAGCCCACATAACAAATACCATAATAGAGCTCATTACATAAATGGTGGATGCAAGTCCTGTTGGCTCAGCACCCCTTGGCGGTACAAGATTTGAAGACATTGCTTGAATTTGTTTCGAAGCAGACCAATTTTTAGCGATGACTATTGATAAAGATCGATAATTTCCACGGGTTCTTTCTTTTGTATTTGTATTTCCTCTCTTTCCAAACGACCAACTTCTGTCCGGTCCTTTACAATGCGTATTCTCATCAATTGCAGTTAATAACGAACTTAACGCCTTTCTTGCTCTTTTCACTTCTCCATCCGCCATTGGCTTATGCTCCAAAGCAGAGACTACAATTTCTGCTAACTTATGGCATTGTCGAATAGAATCAACTCCATTAGAAACTGCATGACAAATATCAAGAGCTTTAACGGCTCTATCAAAAAGCTCAGGAATTAATCGATCTAATGGCGGCTTGCAAACTTGAGATGGATCATGACCCATTACAAGAACAGCCTTGAATTCTGCTTCGCAACATAAGAAAACATCAACAAGTTTTCTTAACCAAGTAATAGAAAGCAGAGGTTCAATGGCGGCAATTTCCTCCGGCGGAGACAATAAATCCGCGAAGCGATCAGAGACATGTTTTTGGAAAAGTTCGAGTTCTCCCATTTCTTGCTCATTGGCAACGTCCATAACGGTATTTCGACGGATGCTGATTCGGCCAAGAAAAGAAGGTTGTTGTTCCCCTGTTGTTGTAAACATATTCTTTTATAAAGATTTGGAATCCAAGAAATGAAAATAGAAAGCAATTAATAAAGTCCGAGACAAACAAGACAGAAGATGGAGAAAAAGTCTTCGATAAAACAGGAGAGGTTAGAAAGGAGAGGTCAAGACTTAGAGACGAGCAAAATGCACGGTTCTTTGCAAGAAAATTTCTTCTTTATTACTGTGGAAAAAGTGGAAGGAATTTGTTGCTGGTAATGAATCCTGTTATTCAGATACTAGTTTGCTATATTTATTGGTTTTTACTTCAAAAATATAGATACAAATATGACCACAACCAGTCATATGTCCCCGCTGCTCAAAGAAAAAATTTTATATCCGAGTTGAGTCAACATTTACGAACCAAATCAAAGGTTTTTATTAAAATGAGAGTATTTCTGACCATTCACCAGAAAAATAAAAGATAAAATAAGAACACTTTTCAAAAAAATTCTTACAGTCGTTAGCTTAATCCATAAATGTATCTAATCATTAACTTAATCCATAAATGTGTCTATAAATCCAGTCTAGACAGATAATTTACTTAACGAAAACTAAAATTGACATAACTAATTACCTTTAAACTAAAAGTCTTTTACATTTACTTTCATTTCCTTACAAAAATGGACAAAAAATGGCTTTAAACGGTAATCAAAAGTGCAATTTCCTCGAAGAAAGAAAAACAAAGTGCCCACTTAACATAGGATAAATTTAATCCATATTTTACTACTCAAACAGTAAAAAGACATCAGGATTAATTAACCCTTAATCTCAAAATTTTATAATGATTCCAATATTATTTCAAGGTGTTGATCCTCTACTTAAATTTTTAATCATCTCCGGAGCCCAAATTTGGACCATTCTTTAATCATATGAACCCTTTCTAATGGCTACATTGAGAATCATGTTGGGACTTTAATCATATGAACCCTTTCTAATGGCTACATTGAGAATCATGTTGGGACTTTAATCATATGAACCCTTTCTAATGGCTACATTGAGAATCATGTTGGGACTTTAATCATATGAACCCTTTCTAATGGCTTCCCTGTCATTTACATTTTCTCATCACTAATTGCGGTACTTACTTTAATCATATGAACCCTTTCTAATGGCTACATTGAGAATCATGTTGGGACTTTAATCATATGAACCCTTTCTAATGGCTACATTGAGAATCATGTTGGGATCAACTTCCCTGTTCATTTACATTTTCTCATCACTATTTTGGGGTACTAACAAGGTGATCTTGCTCTGATAGAGTAGGATAGGAGTGGAAGAAAAGGCAAATAGCTGATATATCGTCCATGGCAATTCCCTTCCTCTTTCGCTTCCATGCATGGACCGCGGATTCAACCAGACGTTTAGCTGCCTTCGCCCTGTCCGGTGTTGAAGATACAATTTGCACTGCCTCTTGATTAGAGATCACATCCCACACCTATATCAAGAATGCAAATTCATCTTTTCCATCTATTTCCAGCACAAAAGCATTTGCAAAATAATGCATTTTCTTTAGCTAGTTTAATCGTGTTTTATATCAGATGTTGGAAACTAATAAGACTATTATAATGAACTACTATGCATACGTACATACATACCCCATCAGTTGCCAACACAACGAATTGATCTTCGCTGGTTATATTCCTTTGGGTCACTTCCGGCACAGAAATAAGTCCAAAATCCTTTATGCAATAATCTCCAAAGGCTCTAGACATTGCTAGTCCAGGCGATTCCTCGTTTGGCAGCCAAATTCTGTGCACCCCGGGCTCATCGTCCAAACAGGAAACCCGGCCCCTGCATTGATGTATTCTTTCAGCCTCCTCTGAGAGAAAATGAGAGTCAATGTTATCCAAAAAGAAATGATAATTCTTTCCTTGCATTAATAGGAAGAGAAAGGAAGGAAGGAACTAACGAGGTAAATTCGGCTTGAAATCAACAGTAAGCTGAACTGGAACCAAGTTTCCATCATTTGAGGTGGTAGCCAATACAGCACGAGAGTCGCCAACATTCGCTACAAAAAGGAGTTCTCCCTACACAAAATAAAAACTTAGATGTAATTACTACACATTGCGTATCAACCATGACATAAAAACGATCACAATAATTGCAGACTATGCAATTTTTTATTAAGAGTCCGCATAATGTTCATAATAGCATACTAAAGGTATATTTTGCATAAAATGAAAATCTTCTCTCCCTACTTTTGTGGCTTATCCTATTCCATAATCATAAAATTTGTAAGCATAACACATTCAAGGACCTAATGGAGATAAGAAGCTCCTCCTACCTGTCTGACAATTGTCAAGGCAGTTGCTCCACTGTGGAATGAATCAATCTTCCGGTGCTGCTCCAACTCCTGATCAACAGCTGCACAAGCCTTAATATATGAATGCTTCCATATATTGAACCTTTGATGCTTTTTATCTGAATCCAAGTCGATATCTGGATCAAGCGAAGTTTGAGCAAGGGTCTCCTGCCAATTACACAACAGAGATGATGGCATCCATTCCCGAACTTTCTTCGCCACATAATGGCCCCAGGGACCGTGTCCATCAAAAATCCCACAAAATATCATGTCTTCTTGGCATCCGAATTCCTAATATAAACAATGAACAATATTATTCACTAAAAATGCATCTAAATCACATTTAGCATACAAAATAACATATATGTATAGTCAAACAAAGGATAGAAATAGAAAAGGAATTAGAAAACTTGTAAAATTCCATGAAAACTCATTGTAACAGCATATAATCCTTGGCAATGACCATTAGGGAAACTTGAATACAAACTTGGAAACACATAATATGGTATACTTACCTCCCATATAATGAAGCAATCCTGGTTCGTTCCCTTCTCGCCTCTCTTTGAGAAACCTGAGGCAGAATTCTTTGAACCATCCAAATTTATGAAACCAGAAGATCGCAATATCAAGTCATTCTTTTTTGCTTCTTTCGCCATTTCTTCTGCAGCTTCTCTTCCATCCCCACTGTCATAGTTCTTCCCTTTTCTTATCAAAAGCGACCTCGCTAACCCGTTGAACATGGAGGATAGATGCCCCATAGCCAATTTTACAGTTCAATGAATCAACGGGGCACCAGAATATGATGATATTGTTCTACCTTTTTGTAGTTTCAAAAACCTGAACGTTTAAAATAAATAATGACCACATAAACACAGTGAAAGAATGATAAAATATTATCAAAAAAGAAGCCTAGTTGCAGTTTTTTTACTCAATTCTATTTGAAAACGGTGGTTAAGGTACATTGAATTGATACTGTGAGTGAAACAAAAGACATAATCTGACTCAGAAAGCTAGGAATCTTACAATTTAAAAAAAGAGTAAAAACCAAAACTGTAAACTGTAAAACGAAGCAGAGAATATTCAATCTGACATGGAATTCCAATATTGCATCCAGAATTTTGTGGCAGAGCCAAGAGCAAAACAACAATAAAGAAGAAATAAAGAACTCCTACCTAGGTATTAGACTATACTGGCCACTCGGTTAGTGTTTATCGTTTGGTTTCTGAGAAAATGTGATAAGAGGGTAAAAGTTGAATTGCCTCTTACCACTTGTATCCAAAGAAAAGATTTAAAAATGTACCGACCGAAACATACCTACTACAACCAATTGGCTGGATTACGTTAAGATTGTCAATCTACACAAATATAAGGTATTCCACATTTGTTTTTTCTCAATCTTTTCTCCCATTTACTTATCAAGAGTTGAGCTTTTTGTTCTTTTGCCAAGAAATTGAGGAAAATAGTGAAGTTGGACAAGACATGGTAATAGAAATGGAGTCAAACTAAAATCACGAACCTTTCTTTCCCAGTTGAAAAAAAAAAAAACTAACTTCTCTTCTTGCTGAGAAATTGTAGTGGAAGATTTTGACTTTCATAATTTCCTTATTATGTATGTTGTCTAAAGCTCATACAGCGAACAATCAAAAATGGCTCGTGTTCAAGTGTCAACACAACAATCAGTTACTTAAGATGAAGTAAAATCCAACATGAACGGAGTTTAGTATTCAAGATCTCATTTTCATTGTTTCCACTACTTTCCCAGAAACCAAACAAACCCAGATGAAACTTTTACCAGAAAGAGAGAGGAGACAAAAACAGCTCATTTAAGCTACCTATCTATCACAAAGCAAAGAAGTGAAAAACTCAAAGCTTAATTATGTCTCTCTTTGTTCCTGTTCCTTCATTTTGTCAAGAAAAAAACAAGAACAATAACCCACAATTCAATTTTCAAATAATGAAAACAACTAAAGAACAAGAGAAGACCTTTCAGGAAAAAAAGAAACAAACAAAAATTCAGAGAGCAGGAATCTGACGTATTTGCCGGGAAGATGACATCATCTGCCGGAACATGAAGCAAGAACCCTGAGAAGAGGACCTGAGAACTCGAGAGAGAGAGAACCAGAAGATAAATCACAATCCATATTGAAAGAGAAATAGAGAAGTTTCTTTCTTTTTCTTTTGTTGGGTTGTGATCTTTTTCTTTTTCATCCTTGCATTTGGAGAAGATAACAAAGGAAAAGCCTTTTTGTACGCACACTCACTTGCTCATTCTCTGCTTTGTATGGGGTATCTTTTTAACTAAAAACGATCTTTCTTTTGTGTTTCTTTTTATTTATTTTTTATGGTTTAAAAGGTTGGTTCTACCGTTCTAGTATTGCTTTTCTGCTATTCTTTTCTTCTATTTATATACCCTGCAACTGTAAATTTTTAACTTGGGATGTTCATAGATAAATAATATATATTGCTGTTTATGGTACAAATATATTAAAATACCCTATTTTGTGGGTCAAGTATGGTTACCCAATATTATGAAGTTCTATTTTTTGTTAATTAATTGGTTGGAATTCAATTCTCTTAATTACAAGAGACTTCAAATTTCGAATACTGTATAAGGTACAAGGGTAGATGACATACTATTTTATTGTAGACTTGATTGATTTTTTAAAAATAAAACATTTCTTGAAGAAAAAATGTTGCAAACTAAAATTCTCAAGAAGATGTATAAAAATGAAATTTCTGAGTACTTACCTCATTAAATTTGAGAGGGACTTGTACTATATTGACTTGTTCTTTTTTTCTAACATTAGACTTATAGGATCAATCTGCCCCTATCAAATGGTCACTTGGCTTTGAGCTGTCAATGAATTGTTAAGACTTGAGACAATCTACCTTCTTCTTTCAATCACCTTGACATACAATATTATAATTGTGTTGACTAATAATATTTTACATCAAAAAATAATTAATCAATTTTAAAATATCTTATTTTTATGTTATAAAGTAAATTCTTAATTGCATATTAATTCAATTAACATTCAATTGCTTTTGTTATAGGGCATTTCATTTTTTATTATAAAATTAGAGGGTATTTTTTACTTTTTTTTTTATAATTAAGAGGTATTTTTCAACTTTTTTATCCATACTGATTTTTCTTCATGCTGTCATAAAATTTTATGTTCCTTTCACTGCAAGGATTCATGTCATTTATCTTTCTGACTAACACAATATTATATCATATCCACTCGATTTTATTTAATATATTAAATTGATTAAATATTTTTTTAATTAAAACCTACAGGTTGCATATGGTCATAAATTAATTGTTTTTAATGTGTCTAATTCTCTTGGCATGCCAAATATTTCAGGCAACATAGGTAGTTAGTAACAGTTGCCTATATTTAAAGAATACTATAATATTTCATGAATTAGATAAATATTTAGTAGAAATAAACTTATTATCAAATGATTAGGAAATACAATATTGGGTGATCATTGTTACCAACCATAACATTAATTTTTATAAAGGATCAAAATGGAATGTCCAAAAATGACAACTTTTATTATATAAATAACCAACGAACCAAAATAGTAATAATAATAATAATAATAATAATAACAACATATATTACGACATTATAATATCTTAATTAAATTTATTAATGCAATATTGAGCATGTATATAATTTTCTCTCCTGGCATTTTTAACCTAACACATGGCTACAATACAGCCAGTGGCTTCTTTTTTGGACCGACAGCCTCTAATTTGAATTCATTAAACAATAATGCATATAATATTTGAATAATGGATTTAGCTATACATTTGATTATTTTATGGCTTATTTGTAATTTGTCTTTGAGGAAAAATAATCATAAGACAATAATAAAATATTTAAAAACCAAATTTAGAAAGAATAAATATTGATTGCATGTATCATATGACTGCTGTGATATGAATGATTTAGAATATCATTAAAGAATAATAAATAGGAAATATTATTTTTTTTTTAGAAATGATATTGTTATGTTATTAATTAATAAATCGAAATAATATTATTAATTAGAGAATTAAAGCTTAAAATCTTTCAATTATCGCATTTTTATCAAAATTGAGAAATCAATTGAAATATACCGATTGAGACTTTAATTAAAAAATTTTTAAATTGTGTACTCACAATTTTAATTATAATTTTATTTTGATGAATTCCTAAATTTTTGAAAATAGATTAATGTATTGAGAAAATAAATTTTTAATCTTGTAAAAAAAAAAAAAAAAAATCAAATGCATTATTGCATAACGGACCAGAAGTCAGTTCAATGGACATCTGATTTCTTTCAGAAAAAATCTTTAAACCAAACATTGCAACATGTGGATCAGAATTACAGGAGCACCCATTTAAAGATGGTCAGGCTTTTACCTTTTTGTACAAATCCATTAACTACGTCTCTTCAATTTCACCATGTGATAATTTAGTTTTCTGTCCCATCGATCTTATCCACTGAAATAAAATTAACAAAACAATAGAGTTTCCATATGAAAAAATAAATTAATTAATGAGTTATTTAAATGAAAAAAGAATCACAAAGCAAATTACAGTAACTAGTATTCTTTTATCACGTAAATTTTTCGAATAATAAAATATTTATATCGGTCATAAATTTTTATCCGGAAATTCTTTATTAATTAAGATAGTATTTATAATATTTGATATTATTATTAATAAATTATATTAAAAAAAAAAGTGCGCTGTGGATATTGAGTGATAATGATCAGGTGGACCCACGTCCACCTACAACATAATGGGTTTTTTTTGGAGATGATCGCGAATGAAGACTTAGGATTCAAAGAGACAGAGACCATTGCTCTAGTGGGCCCAATAATATGAAGACGAGACCGATTTCAGATTCATTAATTAATGGTCGGTCCGTAACTTTAATTTTGGCATGAGAATATGTAAGTATTAACTTAAGTAGTATTAAAAAATGTTGGTTGTTAAACCACTTATCAAACCCTTTACATTATATACGCATTTTTAGGGCCGGCAATGCTTGCAACCCTATTTTAATATAATGGAAAATGACTCCATCGTAGCTACATCGCATGTATAGTTTAGAGATGGTAGCGAAACGGATATTTTATAATATTTTCACTCCAATCTATTTAACGAGCGCATGATGTTGTTATAAATAAATATAAATAATGATATTACTGTGTAAATTATAAATGGATTTGAAAATGGTATAGACGATGGTATTATTATTCGAAATTACGGGTTTGATCATGACTATTATGCTCATTATTTATTATAAACAGATTTCGAACGGATATTTTATTTATTTGAAAGTATTTTAAATTAATTTAGAACGGTATTAGATAATAAAATTTTAAATAGATATTAAATACAAGTATTGCAAAATCTAATTGATTGACATCAACAAGGGAAAAGACCAAATCAGTTTGAAAGTACCTCCTACTCATGAGTCATTATTGGTTGATGGTTGAAAATCTACACACGCGCTACACAATATTAGTGTGTCTCTCAAGTCTCAACTCTCTTGTATACATTTTACGATATGCATGTAATACATATTATAATTACCAATACTACCATTCGCAACAAGCAAGGAAGAACTACCATTCGCAACAAGCAAGGAAGAGATCTCCTCTTCTCGTCGTGCAATCGCTGTCGGTGCAAAGAAGCTGAAGTGATCGCATGGGCCCGGTAATCAGGCGGGATATCTCCGCCTAAATTTTCACTAATCAAAACTCGCCAAGTAGCAACCAACAATCACATGTGGGACGGTGCACGGGATAACGACATGCGAGACGAGGTGTTCAAACTTCAAAGGACGCGTCAATGAGGAGAAGGTATTTTGCCTTTTCTGTTGGTAGGTGTTGGAGTGTATACTAAAAGTTTTGCTTTGTAAGTAAAATTTTAATCTATTACTGTTATTATTATTGTTCGCCACACATTTAAAGTTTATTTTAATTTAAATATAAGATCGAGAGAAATCTAGCATTTGAATTTTAATTGGGTGGCCATGTTAGATTTAGAATTTCATCCACCGCTTGTAATGTTTTATAAAACGTGAAAATATGAAATATTTAACTGGGCTATACAGTAGGATAGTCATTTATTAGACTCATTAAATTGGTAAAAACACTTATAATTAAAAAAATTCAATTTCAAAATCTCTCATTCCTCACATAAGGAAAAAAAACTAATCAAACTATGACTAGTTGATTGATATAAATACTTAATATTTTGATTTCATGGTTACATGTAATTTTGATCTTAAATTTATTTAATATGACCATTAGAATCAATACAATTCTTATATATAATGTGCTAGTGCAAACTAGGAAATTCTTTAATAAGCCAGCTAAAACAGCTAAAATCTCTTGTGATTGAATTTTAAACTCAGCACTATATAACCGACCGAATGTCATGGCCCAGCCCATGGTCAATATTGTCCGCTTTGGGGCTCCAGCCCGTACGAGTACCCCCTCACGGTTTTGTTTTCAGGCAGGCTTTGCACTTGTGATTGAATTTAAAACTCAGCATATATAACCGACCGAATGTCATGGCCCAGCCCATGGTCAATATTGTCGCTTTGGGGGGGCTCCAGGCCGTACGAGTTTACCCCCCACAGTTTGTTTTCAGGCAGGCTTGCAAACCCGCCAAAAGGCCTCACCATGTTCCTGGAACCACCCCTCTTATGTAGGACCACCCCCTCGTACTTAACCGATGTGGATTTGCTAAGTGTGTGGCCTCTGCCACATACACCCCCCTTGGACTCAGCGTCCTCGCTGAGGTTTGCCCCACCACCGGCCAGGAGGAACGAAGGGTCGGCTCTGATACCAATTTGTCATGGCCCAGCCATGGTCAATATTGCTCCGCTTGGGGCTCCAAGCGTACGAGTACCCCCTCACGGTTTTGTTTTCAGGCAGGCTTTTTGCAACCCGCCCAAAAGGCTCAACCATTGTTTCTGGAACCACCCCTCTTATGTACAGGACCACCCCCTCGTACTAACCGAGTGGGGATTTGCCTAAAGGTGTTGCTGCTTGCCACATCTTTCAGGAGGCACAAGATGCGTAAACGACCAGATTTTTCTGTTCAGTAGAGATGGTTATTACTATTCTGGACCGGTTATATGTTCCGTCAGATTTAAGATTTGAGACATCTCATCTTGAAGGAAGCCACATGATTTCTCCATTTTCTATGCATCCGGCAGGACCAAGATGTATAGGGATTTGAAGAGGAAACTATTGGTGGAATGGTATGAAGAAAGATATTGCTGAATTTGTAGCTAAATGCCTAACGTGTTCAACAAGTCAAGGCAGAA